TCGACTGTATTTATAGATGATGTATTACTATGAATTTTTTGAAAAAATCTTATACTCAGATCTGCTATGTTTGTAGTAATTCATTTGATAATTAAACTACTAATGGATATTAAAACTATTAAAAATTAACAAAATCATCTTGATATTTTCCAATTCCTTATGTTATAGTAATTTCACTTTCCATTTTATCAAAATCCTTTATTATTATTACTATAGCCATTCCTTTAAAGACAGGTTTTTGATTATAAATAGTTTTATTTATTATATATTGTGTACACTTTGCAATCTAATTAGAAATTCTATGTTTTTAAATAGCTTCTATAAGTTATTTCAAGGTAGGATATTTTTTAACTAAAGAATAATAATTAGAGTCACATACTTCTTTTTTTATATAAAGTAGCAAAGTAGCAAATGCTTTAAAAGTTTATATATGTAGTTGATATTTGATAGTATATTCTACTATTTCATATATATCTTCTTTACATAGATTTATTCAAACTTATTTATCATCAAGTAGGCTATTTTGGTATTTTATTAACATACTACTTAGAATTATTTATCTACAATAAAGAATTATTAAACAATCAATTTGTGTAATAAGTATTTTTATATGTATAACACATTTTTTAATTCTAATAATGATGATAACTTTGCACAAAAATTACAATAATTTTCATTTGGATAAATTTTGCTTTTACAAATATTTTTTGAAAATATCCTTCTATTTGTTTATAATCAATATAAAGATTATTATCTCTCAGTATTTTATATTCATTATTAGCAATTTCATATTTCATGAAAGCTGTATATTTTAAGCTAAAAAACTCACAATATACTAATAATAATAAACTGCATATTAAATAAATATATTATATTTTTATTTTAAAAACAAAATTTAATTATATTTTTGTTTTTGTATTATTTTCATTATTTATAAAAATTATATTCTTTGAATTAGATTAAGAATTATTGACTCTAAAAGAAGATTCTGCAGGTAAAAAAAATTTCTAAAACTGTATTTTTAAGTTTTTATGAAATTCTAATAAAGTATTTATATTTTTTTTATGCAAAGTAATTTCAATATGTTAAAAAGGTATAAACCATCATTTTTATGATAAAGTTTTTGTAATACATTACAATAATGATATTTAATAGTTAGCCCTTTATTTTTTAACTTAAAATTTTTATCTTCATTTAAAATTTTATCTAGCCAATTTTTTCCAAAAAGTTAAATCTTTCCTATTTATAATTTGATTTTGAACTTCTTCATTTTGAATATTTTTCTTTTGTTTTTAATATTTTTAATTTTTTTTTTTGTCATAATAAATAAGTTTAAAGGTTCAAGAAGATAAAAAAAATAAAGTTGAAAAAGTAAAAGAATTTTTTAATCACATTATGCACAGACTCTATAATTAATATATACTTAATCTATATAATATCTATATCAGATTATAATTTATACACATAATATATCTGTGACAAGTTTTTTGTATTACTTACATATGTAAAATTCTAATAACTGAACAAATAACATAATCTAATAATTATTATTTTGAACACTAAATATGTTATTAAAATAGTTAATCTGTATAGCTTTTTTAATCTAATATTTCATAAAAATTTCTAATTCATATGTTAAAGTTTTAATTATGATATTTAAGGGTTTTACTAATATCTCAAAAAATTGATAATAGAAATTTTTTATTAAAATAAACTTTTTTATTTATTTAAATTATATCAGTATATATTTAAAAATATAAAAATATAAATATTAGATTAAATTATATATTACTATTAAAATCTTATGATTATTAAAATTTTTATTAGTTAATTACATATTCTTATTATAAAATTAAAATTAAAAGTAATTTTTTGTTTGAATTAGCTTAAATTAATAAAAAAAATAGTAAAACCAATTTTAAATTCAGATTCTTTTTAATGAGATGATTTTAATAAGTTTAAAATTATAAAAATTTAATCATTTAGTTATAGAGAAGTTGATTGTTAAAGATCAATATTATATAAATTTTTTTATATAAATGATATAAAACTTTAACAATCAATTTCTTCACAACTAGTAATCAGAATTTTATAATTTTAAGCTTATTGTAATTATCTTATCAAGGAGAATTCGAATATAATAATTAAAAAATTTATTAAAATTGATTTAATTCATTTATATAGATTATTATAAAATTTACTATATAAACTTTTATATATTTTATAGTGAAAAATAAAATTATTAAACTTTAAAACTTAATTTCTTAATAACTAGTAATTCATTTTAATTAAAATTTAAAATATATATTTATTATATATAAAACTATATATTTACATAATAAAAACTCATAAAATTACATATATTATGAAAAATATCAAAATCTATTTTTTTAATAAAAAATTCAAAAGATTTACTTTATTAAATTTATATAAAAATACAAAAACTATATAAAAAGATAGATTGAAGTATATTTTATATTATATAAATAATTTATAAAAAAATTATTAAAATTTAAGAACTTTTATATGTAGATAAAATTAAAATTTTTTTAAATACTCATCTTTTTGTACTGAGTTATATTTTAAATAGTTTTATTTGATTTACTTTGTATTTTTTTTATATAAAATTAATAAAGTTATTGGCAATATTATATTATAAATAAATCTATAAGAAAAATAAATAACCTATTTTTTCAATGAATTACATTATCTTAATATCAAACATAACATTTAAAAATTATAGAATATCATTAACAAATATAAATAAATTCAAAATAAATCAGAAATTTAATTTTATAAAAAAATATATAAAAATACTTAAATCAAGTTAAATACTAATAACATAAAATTATAAAAAAGTATTTAAAAAGATAAGAAAAAAATAATGTTAAATTGTAATAAATAGATAATTTATTTTTCTAAAAAAAATAAATATTAATAGCTAAAAAGATTTAAAGAAATAATTAAAATATTAAAAAAAATAATAAGTATTTTAATAATGCGAATACAAGTAAGTATAAAAATAAATTATATCAGAATAATTAGGTAATAAATATTAGATTATAAAATGGTGATTAGATTATAAAATGTAATTAGATTATATTTATGTCAAAATATATTTATATTATTTAGTTTATGAAATAGTAATTATAATCCATTTTAAGTAATATATTACTTTTTAATATACTATAATTATATTAAAGAGTGATATATTATTTATATAATTATATATTTAAAAAAAAATAAATATTATATGAAAATTTAATTAATAATAATTAATAAATAAATTTAAAGAATAAAAGTTTAAAACTATTGTTTAAATTTAAATAATATTTTAAATAATATAATTTTCATATTTAAAAATATTAACTGCAAATAATAAAATTAAATAATAAAATATTTATAATGTAAGAACAAATAAATTTTCAATTTGTAATATAATAAAAATTAGTGAAAATAATTCTTTTAATTAATAAAATAATAATTTTTTAAAAATAATCAATAAATAATACCTAAAAATAATTTAAATTCTTTTTATAAATTAAGATAATTTAATCTTTGTAATAAATTTATAATAATAATTAAAATTACAACCTGCAAAACCATTTATAACTTTTTTATTAAAAACAAAAAGAATTGTAATTTATTTTAAATATGATGCAGGAAGTCTATATTTAACAATATAAATATAAAATTTAAAAATCTTTCAACTCTTTAAAAAATAAAATTTAGAAAAAATAAACTGGTAACTTTATTTTTTAAGAAAAGCACTATTAAATTACCAGTCAGTTTTTCAAAATAAGTTTTATATAAAAAGTTATAGGTATATAAAAATTGGATAATTTTCATATGATCTTTCTGAATTTGACATATATTATTGATTGAAATTTATGATAATTCGAGCCAGCATTATGGTAATTAATCATAATGTCAGCCCGAATTATTGTAATTTTAAAATAATACACACAAAAAAATGATTAATATCTCGTTTTTCATTGGTCAATTACTAATCACGTGATATAAAATCCACAAAAAAACATTGTTAAGACTTCCGGCACCATACAGGATAAAACAATATTATTAAAATTTTTATTATAAATTTTTTACATGAACATATTTCTTTTAAACTTGATATATTCTAACATAAAATATTGTAATAAACATAAATTCAAGTGTTTGTTTTTTTTTTTTTTAAAAAAAAAAAAAAAAAGAGAAAAAAAAAATTAATATAACCATCAAATTATATAAAAATAAAGATAATAGATTAAATTTAAATTTTAATAAATACAAAAAAATTTCTTTTAATTTTCCTTATAAACAACAAATATTTTGTATTTTTTTTTTTTTCCTCAATTTTTTTTTTCATTCTTTTTTCTTTTTTTTTCTTTTTTTTCTTTTTTTTTTTTTTTTAAAAAAATTACAATCTGATTAAAAGAACCTCAATTATTTTAACAAAAAGGAAATAACGTTAAAGAATATCGAAATAAAAAAAATTTAAAACAAAAGGGAGGGAGGGTGAAATTTTAAATAATAAGAATAAGTACTGCATATATTAAATTTCTTTCGAGAAATGACCGTGAATTTTAAAAAGGGTATATCAAAACTTTTTTTTTCGTTGTAATAAAATTATATAGCTTAATTTTATGGAAACAAAAAAAAAATACAAATAAATATATCTTTTTTTTGTTCATATAAAATGACCGTGCTCGATAACGTGACTAGAATCGAATGCCTCGTAAATAATATAAGTTTTTTTTTTTTTTTTCTTTTTTTCTTTTTTTTTGCTTTTCAAAAAAAAAAAAAAAAAAACAAAAACTACAAAATCCTGCTGGAACATCGACGATAAAAAACAGCACATCACCTTGATTGGGTATTAATTACTATTAGCACACGCTAAGTAATTTGAAAAAAATATATAAATAAATATATTTTTTTTTAAACATTATAGGATTGTGCATTTTTGTTTTTTGTTTTTCTTTTTATTTTCTCGCCCGCCATCCCTATTTAATCGTATCATCCTAACCACAGTATAAAACGCTCTTTCGACATTTACACACGTCTTTGCCGAACTTTCAATAAATTCGCATTTGAGTTTTCTTGCCATATTCATCCCTTCTTCTCTCGATACTTCTCGCTCGGTGATTTTATCACATTTATTACCGACAAGCATAAGTGGAACCTGTTCAGTGTCCTTCACTCGAGTGATCTGATCTCGAAATCGTTCTACTCGCTCAAACGTTGAACGTGATGATATAGAATAGACCAAAAGGAAACCTTCTCCGTCTCTATTATGATGTTTTCGGTGTTATGAGAAAATAAGTCAACGTTAAATTTAAGAATCATAAAATTTCAACGATTGAATAAAAAATCGCTCGATAAATTGCTCATTTAATGAATTTGACACCTCGACTATATCGTTTTATAAAAATAGATTTTTCGAGTCCCATCCATTAAAATGGCTATAACCGACGATTACAACTTAATAATTTACCTGATCCATTGATCCCGCAGAGCAGTGTACTCCTCTGTTGGTTATTTTTATTTTATTTTTTAATGAAGAGATAAAAAGTGATTTATAAAAGGACAATTCATGTACCATTAAAAATAAGTTGAGGATTTGATATTTTCCTATGAATATCATAAGACAAATAATTGACTAAGTTAACAAATAAATACGAACCTTGCCCAGCAGTATCCAGTACTTCTAGAACGCAAGGTTGATCATCAATGACTACTTGTTTTCTATATGAATCTTCGATTGTTGGATCGTATGTCTATTTATAGTATTACATAGGAAAAGGTGACGAAACAAGATTTATTTGAATATTTGCAGAAGAGAAATTCAAGAATGTTTGAGTGACGAAATAACACACACCTCTATAAACCAGTAACGAGTGTAGGATTATTAATGATGACAAGAAAACAAGTTTCATGAGTCGTAATTATGAATTTAATTAGGAATTAAACGAAATAAACGCTCCAATATATAAAACAATTCAAATGTAATATTTCTTTAGAAATTTATTAAACCTACCAACAAAATGATTTAGGCATAACTGATGAATGAAGAAACATTGTTATTACACTAGTGCTCTGTTTGGAAATAAAAAATTCGAAGATAAAATAAAATTTTGAAAGAAATAGAAACACACCTGAATTGTGAGGGCAGTCTATTCGAAAAAAAAAAAAAAAAAAAAAAAAATTAATTAAGTAAATTTATTTTTTTTTCTTTAAAATAAGAAAAAATTATTGGTATATTTTACTTTGCCAACACCACCATCCCCAAGTACAACGAGCTTATATAACATCATCTTTAGAAGTTATTGTGTATATATAATATATTAAGGCTAATGAGAGATGGCTTGACAAATGAAGGGTGGAATGAAAGAGCGAAAGAATGTTGTATCACGATATTGGATTAATACTCAGTATATTATTTTACGAAAAAATAAATTGTATAGTCACCCTAAATAAGCACATCATATTTATAAGCATGCCTCTTTATCATCACAAGCATAATAGTACCCCTTTATAATCACAAATAGTATCTCTTCTTAATAAGCACATTTGTTTCAAAAAAACCACGATTGCGTGATATAATTTAGAAAGGCATGGAAGATCCATGGAATAAATTAAGTAAAGCATTGGTTTTACTTTCTATCCAATGCAAAGAAAGAATAATAAGCGTGATTTTCTGATAACATTCAAAACCACGACTTTCTGCCAACTAGAATCGTGGTAACTTATTCTTTCGAAGGAAGGTAATTAGTTGATTCTTCCTTTTCGCATGTTTCACGTGATTCCTGCGCCTCCTATTTGTTGCTAGCCATAATTTGAACAATATGTAGAATTTAAGTTAATCTATATTGTTTTTTAAAATTATTCGTTTATATTGTAATTGTCTAAAAAGGAAATGATCGTTAAAAAAGAATGTTTTATATTGTATTTTGGGGAGGGAATGAAAAAAATTTTGTCGCATTGACACGCAGTTAAAATCTGGTTCAAAAGTTGCATGACCATACGTAAACAATTGATAAATGCAATTCGGATTATCCGAATCTGAGATTTGCACAATGTTTAATAAATAAACTTTTATAATCAAGTTTTTAGAATTTAGAAAGTAATTTAGATGTAGGAAATAGGATAAACAAAAAAAAAAAATTATTAATAATTTTTTTTCACAGATTCTTTCCGCAATTTTCGCATTTTTTTTTTTTTTAAAAAAAAAAAATGACATCAAATTCCACATGTTCTACAGCACTCACTCATGCTTTAGTATTAAAATTTTTGGAAAACAATAATTATGTAAAAACCTTGGAATCCTTTCGTCAAGACGCACAAGAAATTATCGAAAATGAGGAAATATTTGAGCAAGATAATGAATATACCAAAAAACCATTAATGGCAATCATTCAGGAATATTTAATGAATCAACTACAATCTAATATGGAAAATATGTCGTTAGAAAGGTAAAATTTTCACCCAAAATTTGCTTTTTTTTTAAACCTATTTTTTTTTTTTTTTTTAAAAAAAAATTCCTAACGTTTCTTTCCCTATCGAAATATTATAGAATTATTGATGATGATTTGATTACACCGGGAAATAATGAATATCCTCGATATCTTTGCGAATCATTCTCACAAATCCATATCAACAACATTTTAAGTGTACGGTTACAAACACTTTCAATTAGAAGTTTTAATAATGGAGAGTACCAATTCTCGGAAATTCCTACCATAATTACCGGTTCAGCGGATAAATCTATTCGTTTAACATCATTGCTCACAGGAGATACATTTAGCATTTGTAATGATGTTCATAAAGGCGGAATACTTTGTCTGGATTGTCATCCAATTTATAATCATTTATTGTTAATAGGATCAATGGACTCAACATGTACGTTAATAAATGTTCATGCAATGAATGTAGTACAAACATTTAAAGATCATACGAAATATGTCGTCAGATCAAAATTTTCAATGGATGGAAAAATGATCGTGACAGCATCTTATGATCACAAGGTTAACTTTTACAAGGTTGGAAATGAAGAAATGTTATCACGTACTTCATTAACCCCTAATACACCGAATACAACTTTACCAAGTTATAATAAGATTCATTCGATAACCTTTGTTGGAAATATTGAATCCATGTGTTTCTTACCGGACAATCAATATTTGGTCGTTGGTGTACGTGGTGATAATTACCTTCATTATATTAATTTATCGAATTTTATCGATAAAAAATATAATATGAATAGTAATGGTGATGATTGGGTTTCATTTACTCCAATGGATATTTCCCCTTCTCCACAGAATCACGGAAGATATCTTTTGGTTTCAACTGATGATGAAAATGGTAGAATCATTTTGTTTCGCACTCATTCTTCTCAACAGGTTTTCAACTTTTATGATTTGGAATTCATCCCTGATAGAAAATTAACTAATCCTAGACATTGTTGGCATCCCAATGGAAAATATTTCTTCACTTTTGGTGTAGATTCCATCATCAGAATTTTTGATGTTGCCACTAAATCTATTGTTCATAAATTGGAAGGTCATAAGGATATAGTTAGAGATCTATGGTTTGATCAATATAGGAATTTATTAGTTTCTTGCGGTTTCGACAAAACTGTTAAAATTTGGAGTGTTGACGACGTGGGTCACGATAATACCAATGGAATGAGCATGTGAAAGAGAAATATTAATCACATTTCTTATTTTATTTAAATAAATATTGTTTCATGTCACTTCAAATTTTCTTAATATCAACACTTCCATCTTCATTACCAAAGTAAGCCATTTTAGTCATATTAACGAATAATCCCACTTCAACTACACCAGTCAATAATTTGATCTTTTCCAATAATTCTTTGGGTTTCTTGATTAATCCGAAATACGCATCAATAATAAGATTCCCGTTATCACTTATAACAGGTCCTGCCTTTGATTTTGCCATACGCAACACAGGATTTTCACATCCCAATCTTTTTAATGATGGTATCACTAGCATATAAGCAAATGGGATAACCTCAATTGGCACTCCTTGTTTCCACTAGCAAAAAGGGAGAGAAAGAAATCTTTTAAAAAGAATATAAATAAATTTGACAATGTTTTAAATAAATAATAACATTTTACTTTTTCCCCGAGGGTGCTAGATTTCTTAGAATAATCTGCTACTATTACAAATTTTTTCGCCGCTTCTGCTACCACTTTTTCTCGAAGATGACATGCCCCTCCTCCTTTGATCGCATTCAAATTCTCATCAACCTATCATTAGCAAGATTTCATGGTTTTATTATTAACAACATAAATAGATAAATATCTTAAATGATACAATTACCTCATCGGCTCCGTCAATTGTCACATCAATTTTTGAATATCTACAAAAAAAGAATCATTATTAAAAAAATTTTGTTTTAATTAAAGGAAAAAAGAAAGATCATGATAAATTACTGATCAATATCTCCCAAATTTAATCCACCTTCAATAATTAACAGTCTACTTTGAAAACTAGTCGGTACAAATATACATTCTTTGTTCACCAAATTACCACGTTGTAATATTCTTTCTATTACGTATACCACCGTGCTTCCTGAGCCTATTCCGATAATTTTACTTTCGCTTGTAATATTTTCGTCTACTGCTTTATATGCTGCTCGTCTTTTTGCATCATTCAAAGAAGACATTTTATGCTAGGGAAAAGAATGTTGTTGCGTCACAACTTATCCGAATTGTGGGGCGCACAAAATGTTGCACAATCGAAATTCAAAAGTCGCAAAAATCACAATCATTTATTAAGAAATACAACTTAATTTAATTATATTTACAGTTGACATCTTTTGTCTTTTTAACTTTGGTTACCATTGTCCTATTTTAATTATTATATAGAAACGTCATTCTTATTCTTATTATGGTAAATGCAAATGAATGGTTTAATCAAAATTATCCCGCAAAAGGTATATGTCAGAGGGTGGATGATAGAGAAAATTATGGTAAAAGGAAGGAAATCATTAATTTAGATATTAGTAATCAAAATTTAGAAGGTTACATGGGTGGTCCAGAGTTTGTAGAAACAATCCCTAATCTGCGAAGTTGAAATCTTTCTTTTAATGAAATAAGCGGTGGTATTCTTGGTGACATAAATAAATTGGAAGTAATTGATTATTCTCACAATCCACGATTGGTAGGTTTCGGATTATTTAGGCCGTTCCCTCAACTCAGAAAAATAAACATTTCTCATAGTAATATAGTGAAAGTTGTAATGGCAGCAGTTCCTCATCTTAGTCATTTTGACGTTAGTGGTAATTCGCTTGCGACTTTAGACCTACGGGGATTGAGCGGAAGTCTAGAAGTGTTGAAATGTTCGGATAATCCTCTTACTAATTTATCTTTGACTTATTCCTCTAGTCTTGGTTATATCGATTGTTTTGGTATTAACTTTGACAAGTCAAATACTACCTCTCCAACTTCTCCCGTTTCAATTGTGGAAACGTTAATTGTCAATAATCCCAATGATTCGCATACAATTGTGGGACTTGCTATTTCCCTAGGGATAAGTATTTTCGGATGGATAGTGATGGGTTCATTTTTTTGTTTTAAGAGAAGACAAACTATATTGAAGATACCAAGTAGTTAATGATAACAAATTAATTGTCTCTATCTTCTTCGTTATTTCTGTATAATGACATTAATGTAATAACTCATAATACGATATTTTTAAAAAATTCTCTCATAACGAGTAAAATATTTATTTAATACGGAAAGTTAAAAAGATTTAAAAAAAAAAAGTGGGCATATTATATTATAAATCACATGAAAAATTTATTAAGGTGAGATTTATTAATACATTGTTACACTAAACTTGTTTTGATGGAAGAACGAAACCGGATTTAGACGGGCATTAATTATTGATTGAATCTATTAAACAGTGATCGATCGACGGTTTTGATCGAGTAATAAGATTTTAATAATGAATTAAATTAAATTTTGAAATGGAAATAGAAAATAATTCTCCATTACAAAGAATGAATTTTTTTTTTTTTCCAAATAACTTTTCTCCCAAGTACAAAAAGTTTCTGTTCCTTTCGATGAATCCCAACTCCCAAGATTTTTTTTTAATTAGGATTCTCATCAGTAAAATAGAGTAAAGGACGAACATTTTTTTTCTTTGCTTTAATGACTGTTTATTTTACTTGATTCCATGGCGGTTTAACACAATCCATTTAATGAAGTTGGCTTGATTCACTTTACAATTTTATGATCTCTAGAATTAACAATAATTAAACTATGAATGAAAAAAAAAAAGGTCTTGAGAAAATAAAAAATAATAACCATAATCCTAAAATAATCTTATTCGTCTTCAACTTTTAATTCATACTTTTCTTTTTGTCTTGCTAGATATCTTGCTTTAGCATCAGAAATTGATTGTTCATCCTTTTTTCTGGTCAATTTCTTTGCTAATTCTTCATTTTTCTTTCTTTCCTCCTCTTCTTCCTTTCTTCGAGCTTCTAATATCTGTGTTTCCATTTCACGACTTTGTTTTTCACGTCTACGCATTTCTTCATATTTTGATTTGTCACCACCTCTTCTATTATCATGAGATCTATGATCTTTTGAATCATAATAATCTTTTGAAGACCACTTCGAAGAACCAACAGTCTTCTTCTTTTTGGATATATTTAATCCCGCCGATAATAATTGTCGCTTATCCACGATTTGATCATCATCATTTAATATTACAATTTTACCAGATGCGCGAGCTTCCTCTGCAAGCTCTTTATCTGTTTTTTGCGGTTTATTGTTATCTTGTTCTTCAGATAATGTCCTTTTTTTGTTAGATGATAATGCTAATCTACTTGCTTCGATTGCTGCTGTTTTCGCTGAACTAGTTTGATCCAATAAATTACGATAAAATTTGGACATATCTTTTGGCCCATTTGCTTCCTCTTTATTTGTTTTCCAAAAATAAAAATAAAACATAAGAATTTTGAAATTATGATAATGTGGATGCCGCATGTAGTTTACTTGCCTCGTTTTTTCTCCTCTTCTTCAGCTTTTCTTAATTCCTCTTGTTGTATTTTATATCTATGATGTATATATAAAATTATTAAAAATCTTTTAAATCACAAAAAAAAAAAATAGATATATATATTTAATGTACTATTACATACGCTGAAGTGACAAATGATTCCTTATCATTAAATTCCTCTCCTTCCGCTTCTCGTTCTTTTTGTATTTTACGTTCTTGAGCTTGAATATAATCTCTTTTACGTATTTCTGCAGCTTTTAATAAATCATTTACATATTTCGGCTACGAATCGCATTACGTATTGCATTAGTACCACTTCCTTCCTTCTACAAGTTCTTAAACCCAAAAATGGTTTGAAGTTTACCTTTTTAGAAGCGCTACTTTCAATACCTTTAAAATCTCGTATTGCCTTCCTTTCGGCATCTTTCATATCATCATACACTTCATCATAAGAAAATACTGTGGGATCTTCCTCTAAAGCTGCTTTATGCTGTTCTTGCACCAATTTACTTAGGGAATTATCTTTTTTTATTAAGGTTTTATTAACATTCTTCGTTGAGGAAGAAAGTATCTTTTTGGAAGGCTGTTCGTTAAGATTGTCAACGTCGTCGTCTTCACTAAATATTGATCGTTTTAACGATCTTTCGGGTTGCTTTTGTGATAAAGGTTTCTTCGTGGTTAAATTTAGACCGTACTTTAATTGTCTGTTTTGTTGCATGTTTATTTTATTTTATCTTTTATCCTTTTTTAGAAAATAGAAAAAATTTTTTTTATTTGCGCGAATTTTTTTTGTGAATGTCGTCACATGATTCAAACTGAATTACTTGAATTACAATTAAAAACTATCAAAATCGAGGTCATCATCAAAACGTGATACTGTGAAGTCTATACTTGTAACCACGAAATTGAATAATTAATAATTAATATATAATAATATATGTATTAATTATTAAGACATGGAAAAAATTTTTCAGACATCTGTAACATGTTTGCTATTTTACAATAGCATATATGCATGTTGGATTAAATATGACGGGTGAATTAAAGTAATGGACTATCACCTAAAGATCGAATTCAAGTAAACATGATATATCTGAACTATGTATGCTATTTCTAACGGATAGCATACATGCATGTTGACAAAAAATAAAGGAGGGAATTGAATCTTGCGGTTTGAGAGGTTAATTATGCATATTAAAATGACCAAAATCACTCTCAGGTGGTATTCCAGAGTTAAATTGATCCAAATTCGAATTGATAGGTTGTGCAGGATTAGCAGGTGATTGCGCAGAAGAGAAAAGATCCGGGTCTCCAGAAATAATATCGAAAAGTGAATTTGGTCGTTGAGAGTTCGATCCTTGTTGATTCGTCTGATCGGCAACGGAATGAGACGATACTAAAAGTTGCAACTTTTCTAACAATGCGTCAAATTTGCTTTAAGTATGCGACGCTTTGGGAACTTTGTTGCGCGTGTACGGTTTCAAAGTTGGAAACCACAAGTTCTTGATGTTGTTTAATGAAATTAGAAATTCGTTCTATTTCCTTAAGTTCACTGGAACTTTGGTGGAAAACATTTAAATCTTCAAACTCTTTAGAAAAATTATTATAACGATTCTTTATCAGTTCATAGTTATTAGAAATATAATTTAGACGGAGTTTTTTAACCTCTCGAGAAATGTGTTGTAAAGTATATTGATTTGGATCCATTTTTTTTTATTTCAAAAAGTAAAATAGAAAAAACAAATACTAAATAAAAAGGAAATGTGAAAAAAAAAACGACAAAAAAAAAAAATAAAAAGAGGGTCTAACAATATATTTTTTTAAAGTACAACTTTACAATATATTGTATTATAATAGATTGTATAAAAAAAAAAAATTCTCAAACAGAATTTAATTCAATTACATAAAATCATTGATCGACGTTACTGTATATTTAAATATTTAACTAATTCTTTAATTTAACAAAGATATAAAGGTATTTATTTATATATATTATATATAAATATATAAATATATATGTATATTTTAGAGCACTTGCACTTACTATAATAGTTTATGATATAAAAACGCTTTTCCTGATTTAATTTAAATCAATAAAAGGAAAAAGGAAGTTGTGATCATTAAATAATGGATAATTTATTTTTCTATCAAATTTTCGTTATAAAACTTTTCCAAGTCCTTGAGAATAATGACTTTGGGAAGATAAAATAATTTCAAAAAATCATTACTCGTATAATCCAATAACAAATATCTAAGAAATTATATAATCCGGATTGGTTCCCATAAATATTTCATATAATCTTTTCGACAGAGGTCTATTAAGACATCGATGTTGTGCAAAGCCAATGTTGGGAATCTATGCATATAAATAAATATTTAACCCCATTTTTTTTTTTTTTACATTATGAACATAAACGTATAAAACTTTACCTCAACAGATGTCAAAAGATTTTCTGCTTCTTCTCTAGTGAGGCACCTCTGATATGCTTTGTATAACGATCTGACAGTCGGATATACATTTATGATCCCTCTAGCCACAGGCTCGGTCACGAATTGAATCTCTTGTAACATGCGTAACCAAGTGTTGCTAGGATCGGTTCCAGATCGTACTTGACCTTCAGCCCAAAAGTTCAAATCGCAATTACGATTTCTAAAGAGAAAGAAATTTTCTTTTCAATGTAAAAGTAAGATTAATAAAGAACAATAGCTAATAGCTACGCGACTTACTTGTATGGTATGGTTGCAATATCAGCCGAGAGAATGCCTATCATTTCTGCTGTATCCTGAATATTTTTCGTGTGAACAATTAAACATTTTGCAATTACTTGTAACCACAACAACTCTTCTTCCAGCTTTTCAAGATCAGGTTCTTGTTCTTGAATTTTTTTCTTCCGTTTTGATGTTGTTGTTGTTGTTGTTGTAATTTCCGTATCTTCGACGTCGTGTTCTATACCTGACCGAACAGCATTGGTAAAATTTCGATTGATTTGTGTTTTTCTCCTGCGACAATAGCTTTCATAACCTTCAATTAATATAATTATTCTCTTGCTGCTAAAAGTTTCTTGAATTTTATTGATATTATCGGATAAGATATCATCTTTAATAAACTTGGTGAATTCTGATATCTCAAAATAAATCAATAAAAATGATTCTTCTTGAATCCTTTCTGGAGCTGGCATGAAAGCGCAAAATTCATCATCCCATTCCGCAGTAATTTTCCTTCGCCATTTAATGATATTAGGAAAATCGTGTTGAACGACGTTGATAGTTAATAACGTATACTTTGGATTGTCCCGCAAATAGTCAACAAGATTTTTTTCTGATAAATTATTTGAAATGTCAAGTATCAACTCTCGACACAATTCGAATTTATCATACTTGGTCTTGTTAACTTCCTGAATTTGCTTGAGCCTTTTTTTCTCAGCCTCACGTTCCTCCTTTTGTTTTTTACGTTCCAATCTCTGTTGTTCCTTTTGAGTTTTCTAAAATTAAATTAAATTTGTTATGACTTCATTTAATCTTACTATAACAATGTATTTTATATATACCCTTTCCAATTTTTCGACTTCCTTAATCCTGTTGATTCCTTCTTCATTTATATTATCATTCTTACGTTGGCATCTCTGATTAGCTATATCATCACCAATATTTGGATTTTCTTGATTCAACACGTGGACCTGATGTACGCATGATGATGCATCATCCTTTTCATCTAATAAATGAATAGGAAATGAAAATTTTGACTTTTTCAAAGTGTCAAAACGCGTCCCTTCAAGAAACTTTAATTAGAAAATTAAAAGAAAAATAAGCATTTTAAAATAATTTCGAGGTGAATTTAAGGAAGGCTCAATGTAATCCCATACATTCCCATCAAAAATACGATTGATCGTAAGTTCCGCATTTCGCGTTTTGTGAAGATCTACAAGAATTTCTTCAAAACTTTTTTCACTACAAATAGCCTGAACTTCAATTGCCATGATTTGAAGCTCTTTATCATTTTTGAGTTTTTCAAAGCTATCGGTCATTTTCAAAATTTGAAAACCTTAATCGCGTAGGATAACTAAACATCTAAACGCGAATTAACCTAACCGCTTTAGGATCTGCATGACAAATCAAAGTCACATGATCCTAATTCTTTCATCATATTTCGTTGAAATCCGAAAAAAAATTTTTTTATTTTTGACATTATCAAAATTCGCACAATTAGAGTTGTACCTTTTTTTTTTCAACAATAAATTATCAACGATGTCCATCCCACAGTGGTTTGCTGAAGACGCAAGTTGTGGGCCTACAAATTCAATGAATGGCCTAATGAAGCACATTACGCATGATAGATCGTCGCAGCAGGTAATTCAACCAAATGCTTGTACTTTTATTTTAAATAAATTCCTCACAATTAATTAATTGAGTTTGATCTTTTAGGATAAATTTACAGCAGAACGATACGGTGAAGGATCTTCAAAAGCAGTACGTTATTTGCCCTATTTTTTTTTTATTTGCGAACGCTTATATATATATACAGTATATATAATTATATTTTCGAATAATCAGGCATTTAGAACTCAAAAGAATATTAAACAGCAAGATGAGGTAAGCCATCTTTGTGCTTTTAGTTTGGCTTAACCTAAGTAATTAAAAAAAATATATCTTTTTTAGTATGCGCAAAAATTTTTCCAACATCCGGGACAAGAATCATCTCTTCCACCGGACATCTATAACTTTGATCAAATGAACAGAGGACTTGAAACGATTGTACATGACTCACAGAAAAATGGGGATTGGGCAGCAAGTTTTTTAAAGCAATCAGAATCGACCCATCATCACATAATGCCTGACCACGCGCGTTCGGAATTTGAAAATTTTGAAGTGATCTATAAGGATGCCCAAAATCAAGGTAGGCGATCTTTTTAGGCATTGGAGGCTTAAATTTAAGCGATTAACCAAATCAACATTTCAGACAAATGGGCAACCGAATTTTCTCAGTTCCACAAATTGCCAGCAAACGATGTTGAAATACGTCCAGAAGAAATAGCTGCTTTCGAACAAGCATTTGATGACGCAAAGAAGAGTAATTTTCAAAATGTTGTTGCAAAGTTTATATCGTTGCTCCTTATACTTATCATGGTTATTTGGTTTAGGTGCGAATTGGGAATCAGAGTTTAAAGCTCAAGAGCAGACATGGGCAAATGAATTTAAAGAACAGGAAGGGATTGGAAGTGGAGATGATACAAAAACCGAATTGTCCGATATAGCTAGTAAATTACTTGTTTCTATTGAAGGAGAGACAAACCCAAAATTTAAAAATTCTTCATTCATGAATTTTATGAAAAAATTGAGCAAACAAGAACTTTCTATTGAAGGAAATAAGGTTGTAGAACAAAAGGCTCCAATACCTAATGCGAATTGGGCTTCTGAATTTGAGACGCAGCAGCAGAACAACAATAATAATTGGGCATCAGAATTTAACAATAAACAAATAGGTTCACATTCAAATTGGGCACAAGAATTTTACGGTGCTAACACTTTGGATACTCCAAAACATGGGGAAGGTTCAACTTTAAGAGCAGCATCTAATGAATTTGACTCAAGATGGGCTACAGAATTTCAGAAAGCTCATAATCGGATAAATGAAGACAATTCCAACGCATCTCCAGCGTTAGATGAATGGATGAAAGATTATAAGGATTATAAAGAAGATTCTATAGATCAAACTATGGAAGATTTGCAGAGTGATTGGGAAAAATATAGACCTATCAATACGGGGTACTCACTCGATCCCCCTTTACATGACATTTATGAATTTCACCCAAATAATCCTTACCTCACTACGCCAAATCTTTTACCAGAGACTTCAACGACAAAAGAGCAAATTCTAGCGGACTCTATATTAATTTTAGAAGCAAAGGTTCAAATAGACCCGAATGACTCAAATGCATGGTATCAACTTGGTACTAGGCAACAAGAGAATGAGCAGGAGCCGAAAGCAATAGCGGCATTACGTAAGGCTGTTGCTTTGAATCCTCAAATATTGGACGCTTGGATGTCTTTGGCAGTTTCTTACACAAATGAGTACCAACGTGATGATGTTTATAACGTATTGGAATCATGGTTTGATCATAGTCATAAATATAAACAATTGTTAGAACAGCAACGTGCAAAAGGCATCTTTGTTGATCCTCACAGTTTTTTCACGGACCTATTTATACAAGCGGCACTTTTAAATCCCGGAGAGAATCTTGATCCAGATGTCCAAGTTGGTTTGGGCATACTATACAATGTATCCGAAGAATACAATAAGGCAGTGGATTGTTTTCAAACAGCTCTCTCTTTGAGGCCTAATGTAAGTCACCTTTAAGTAAACTCTTTTGATAGGTTTTTAGTTTTTAGTTAAAAAGATTATTTTCTTTATTTAGGACTATCTTCTTTGGAATAAACTTGGAGCAACTTTAGCAAATGCTCGTGAATCCGAAAAGGCCGTGAATGCTTATTTTAATGCCCTTGAAATAAATCCATTGTACGTTCGTGCTCGATATAATCTCGCCATTTCTTTCATTAACATGAAAGAATATCGAGAAGCGGCCGAACATTTACTCGCAGCCCTTGCATTACAGACTGGTGAAACCAACGCGATCACAAGTGATGAATTAAACAAAGATAGTTCATTTCATAGTGTTGCTGGAGGCGTGATGAGTTCAAATATCTGGGCAACACTTAAAGCTTGTTGTAAATTTTTGGATAGACCTGATTTAGAAAATAAGTGCGATATCAGAGATCTGAACGCTTTTAAGCAGGAATTTGAGTTTTAGAATAGCATTCATTTTGTAAATTATTTATTTTAACTTAGATAATTTAATAATAATAATATAATAATAAAAAAGCAAATCATTTAGCATTTATTGTATATTATTTTTATTGGTTTAATATACATTAAATTAAAATTTTGAACAAATTGATAAAAAAAATATATAAATAGTATAAATACAAAACCGTGTAATAATAAGTAGAATAAAAATTTAGGAATTGCAATAAAGTCAGATAAAAAGTAAAGTTTAATTATAAAGTAAATAATTATTATAAGCTATTTTTTTTTTTTTCTTTTTTTTTTCTTCTTTTTTTTATATTTATATATAATGTAACCAATATAACCAATTTTGTAGTGTAATGGTATTTGGTAGCCCCCTTTTTTTTACATCTAAAAAATTTTGTATAAATGCTAATTATTATTTGATAAAAAAAACGGATCATTCATCGAATTATAAAATATCAAAAGTATGTACACATAATCGAATTCATCAAAAAAAAAAACCCTTTTAATTTTAAATTATTATCCAATTATAATTGGGGGAAACCTTTAAAAATTAATATAAATATCGTTTTTAAATTGAATAAGCACCTCGCTAATATAAAATTTCATATTACATCTTCACCTTTTTTTTCTCATTTGTACTTTTACTTTGTAAATTATTTATTTTCTTTTCATTGTTTTCTTTAACAATCAAAAAACATGTATCTGAATAATACCAACAATAGTTCTATTCGTGACAAACTTCATAAGTTAAATTCCAATTCCGTGAACATATATAAAATAAACCAGGAGATAAAACTTTACCAAGACAGAATAACTCAATTGAAACAACTTCTTCGCTCTCAACAAAATGAAAGTGAACAATTGGTACAATATTTTGAAGCTCAGTCGCTATTTCAGCCTGGACAAAATCAAATGTCACAACCCGCTCCTATTTATTCGTTCAGTCAACATTATAATCCCGGGCAAAATCAAACTGAAGTTATGGTTGGACAAAGTCAGTCATCACCTGGACAAAATCAACCGTCGCCTCCTGAATTTATGAATAGACCAAGTCAGTCATCATCATTTTCATCCAATTGCACGCCTGGACAGAATCAAACTGAAGTTATTGCTGGACAAAATCAGTCATTACCAGGACAGAATCAATCATCGCAATTTGCCGCTACTGAATTTAATATGAATAGGCAAAGTAGTAAGTCATCATCATTACCATCCAATTTCATACTCGGACAGAATCAAACTGAATACGTGGATGGGCAAAATCAGACATCACAAGGACAGAATCAACTATCACAATTTGTCCCTCCTGAATTTATTTTGAATAGACAGAGTCAGTCATCATCATTACCATCCAATTCCATGCACGGACAAAGTCAGTCATCATTATTACCATCCAATTTCATACGCGGGCAAAATCAACCTGAATACGTGGATAGACAAAGTCAATCATCACCTGGACAGAATCAACCATCACAATTTGCCGCTACTGAATTTAATATGAATAGACCAAGTCAGTCATCATCATTTTCATCCAATTGCACGCCTGGACATAATCAAACTGAAGTTATTGCTGGACAAAATCAGTCATCACCAGGACAGAATCAACTATCACAATTTGTCACTCCTGAATTTATTTTGAATAAACAAAGTAATCAGTCATCTTCATTACAGTCCAACTTCATACGCGGACATTATCAACCTGAATACGCGGATGGACAAAATCAGTCATCACCAGGACAGAATAAACCATCACAATTTGCCCCTCCTGAATTTATTTTGAATAGACAGAGTCGGTCATCATCATTACCATCCAATTCCATGCACGGACAAATTCAAACTGAATACGGGAATGGAAAAAATCAATCATCATCATTACCATTCAATTCCATGACCGAACAGAATCAACCAGAATATGTGGAAAGACAAAATCAGTCATCATCAATACCGCCCGATTTAAATGCTGAATCGAATCAATCGCAACGGACGCCCAGTCAATTTATGACGGATCAAAACTCCAACCAATCAATTTCTCAATCACCAGAGGGTGCATTCGATGTATATTCTGGAAATGCATATCCATTCTCACCATCACAGAGTCATGTTGATCCTGCTGTCAATCCAGAAGAAGTTAACTCTGGAACGGAGTTTTATTCAACCAATTCTCAGAATCCCGGTGGAGATACCAATGGTAATGTTTATAAAATGAAATAATAACTATTACGTGTGCTTGAAATAACGAGTTTGGAGCTTTGAGGGATGCGTTAAACTAATAAAAGACATTTCTAAAGCTAAAAGGTATTTTAATCTTTCAATTAGTTTTCAAACCTACGCGCTATATTTATGATTTATCTAATTTTCATTTGCTGTTACACGTAATCAAATAAAGAGTAATGTTTATTGGTTAAAATATTGATGTTGATAAATTTGGGTAAATTATTACCCCCTAAACCTATAATAAAGCCAAGCGTTTTATTTTATGTTCATTATCATTGCTAATCCATCAAGGATTTGATGTGCCCATTTTACCTTTGTAAATACACTTTTCCTTGCGCGAATTTCTTTTCATTATCATGTGAGTTCCAGATTAACCTATTTGAAAGTCGCCAAGTTTTAGCTTTTGGTCATCACATGAAGTAGCATTATCATTTCCCAAATGATTAAATTTTGTCTGTTGAAATTCATCAAGTCAAAGAAATATCATTGACAATATGTTGAACCTTTTGAGGGACTAGTTTAATACCATCAAAATAACCTAGCACCGATTTGTGCAGAAAAAGACCCATTTTGTCGTTTTTTTTTTTTTTTTTTGTTGTTGTCGCCTTAGTTCCTTCATTTTTCCACAAAGGTCATATTGATAAGAAGTTAATCGAACTCCAGGTTTTCTGGACCCTGCATATTTGCGCTCGGGACTCATATTTGTGTGATTTTGCATTAGCCACTACGCCTTACGAAGTAGTACAAGTATTACTATAACTTTTTTGTTTACCACTAGAATTTGAACATACATTCTCAAAACTTTCATCGTAATGATTAATTTGTGTTACGATGGAATGTTTCCATTCCAAATAGAAAAATCACGGTTACTTGACATTGGAGGATTTCGATGGCGCATGAGAATTGGTTTTTTTTTATACAGAGACCAACATTAAATATATAATAAAAAGGTTTTTCAAAAAGTAAAAAAAAAAAATTTTTTTTTTTTTTTTTATTATATCAATGAAATATTTATAATTAAATATTAAATATAAATATAAATTATGATGTTAGTGGGGTAAAAATTTTTTTTTTTTTTTTTTTATGTGCATTATTACTTTTAATTTTTCGGAAAAAAGTTTCATCTAAAAAAAAATAAAATATTGTGGCTCATATCCATCCATCCATCATATCATCGACATGAAAACCTTAAAATACGAATTTATCTCATGAAAAATAAAATATTACCATACCACATCCGTCAAAAGATGGCGTGGGGCAATCCGGTCAAGTAGTCAAATAAATTTCTGGACTAGTTGAAATCATCGAAGTCATCAAATAAACATACATGCATTCAACGTAGGTAGGTAGAAGGGTCGATTCATTTATGCAATACTCACGCAGTACATGATATGATTGGTGGAAAGGAACATTATTATACATAAATATTTTAATAAGTCTCATGGTTTTGAACTATCACAATAGTTCGATTTGAAATAGGTATTACTAAGAAGATGATCACACTTGATAATGCTTTTTTTATAGAAAATTTTGTGGGGAAATTCATAAACGATGTACATTTTGACCTCTCCCCCGTGAGATGTCTAATGTGTCAGGAATCATTTGGATCTATTCACATGGTAATCGGCAAAAAGCTTAATTAAACTTGATTTTTCTGAAAATTTACTCACGCAAAAAAAAAATGAATAATCAGATTTTTTATAAAATCGAAAAACCATCAACAATAACAACAACAACAATAATAATTAAACCCAATTATTGATAACGATAAATAAATTACCAATAAAGTGAATGACCTCCTTTCTTGGATGATGAAATAAAATGTCTTTCCTAGAGCACATGGGCAATGATCGGTTCGAAACCGGATCCAATGATAATGATGAAAACGATTCCTAGCATTCAAGCTATTCCGCAGGGGCACAATCAAAGAAATTCTCAAAGTGACGTTTATCAACCAATTCGACAACGACAAGTTTCAACTTATCAAATCAACGTTCGTCCTTATGTGTCTGCTGTACACCCAAGGATTAGACGACGTTCGTATCAATTGAATCGTACCTTTACCCTTTCTCAAAGCGTTTCTGCTATGAGAAGTAACTTTGTACAACCTCCTCCTCAACAACGGCAAACGGCAATCGCTCTTACCGCTACTGATTTACCCGATTTAATCAATGCACAAACTTTGATGATATTTCCCCAAAAATTCCTATTCCTTTGGAGGAAAAGATGTGATTGGTAACTAGGACTTTTAAATAATCTCATTACATATAAAATTTTATATATACGATATATATATTATACAGTATTATTATAATATTAATTATTAATTAATGGTTGATTCCAAATGTGTTAATAAACAAAAAATTTGACATTTAACATAAATTAATTAAATTATCTTGCATTAATAACCTTAATAAAAAAAAATTTTTTTTGGATAAAAATGGTTAAGCCTCAAATTTTATTCATACATTTTATTGAAAGAAATCATTAAAAAAAAAGGTACATGGGGGAACGTTCAGGGGACTGTGTACTGTCTAACATTTGATGGATATTATTTATTAATCAATTTAATTAATTATATAGATAGTCAAAAAGTTGTTGGGGTGTTTTTATTTGTTAGAATGCAACTCGAATAAATCCTTTTTTATATTTTTTTTTTATTGAACCAATCATTTTTGATTAGAACAATGATTTGAGTATAACAAAATCGGTATTAAAGATGTCTAATAATTAGAGATTAAGAGTAAATATTTATTTGTTTAATTTGGATTTAAAAAAAATTATAAAAACACTTTTGGTACTGATCATCATCAATAATCGAGTGGTTAATCAATATAAAACCTATGAAAAGAATATTCCAAATAATTTCCTGCTGTGATCAATCTAAGGAATTCTTTTTTTTTTTTCTTGGAGAAAATTTTTTTTCCTATAGAGAGCAGGGTCGTAATACAACATGGTTTTTGTAGGAAAACAAATTATAACAGAATTCTTTCATTTAAATATTTTTAATCTTACTTCATATTCACCATAATAATCGGTTCACGATTGGTTCCAATGATCTGAACCTTTCATCCAACTCATCGCTAACCTTTGATGAACATAAAAAAAAAAAAAATAAAAATAAAATAAAAAAAAATTTAGATTTACCAGAAAATCCTTTGCACGGGCCTTCACTTTTTTCAGCGACCAAACCTTACGTTTCAATCCCAACAGGAGATCACCCCAATCAAATTTCGAGTGTAACAAATGTAACCCACGAAATCAAATCACTAACGAATAAACGAACTGGGATCTATTTTCATCTCCACATTTTCAACAATATTTGAAGAATCATTACCTGGTTTTATGATGCATACATAAACATGCGTAAAATTTTTTCCCAGGTAACGTTGTATTTAATTGTATTTTCAAAGACAAGATAATATACAAATGAAAATTAAAGTAAATCAAATGTGGTCAATAATTCCTGTTCCTTGTCTCCGAATATCCTTTTGTTCTAATTTTATTTTATTTTATTTTTGATTGGAAAAATGTTTCACTACGTCATTAATTGACATTAGAGATAATTTTTTTTCTTATTATCGATCATGAAATAATTGATTAGTCCTTCGTTTATTGAATTGAAAACTTTTAGAGGTAACACTCCTTTCATGATAAATGCTAGCAATAACCGACGAGATCTTTTCATTTGATTGGAAATGATTTTTTTTGCAAACACAATCATATCATAATCCCGAAGAAATTTTATGTTAATTTTCTTAGAGTAATACAAATTAGTAGGTGTAACTTCGGAAATACTCCGAACCAGATAAATAAAGTAGCAAGAATAAAAAAAAAAAAATTTCACGCATAAAATCATAAAATTCTTGTTATAATAGTAAAAAAATCAAATAAAATAAAAAAATTTTTTTATTTTATCTTATTTAATGTAACTTTCATAAAGTTGAAATTGTTCTAACCATCACATGGAGTTTAATAATCTTCAAAACCACCCCCTTCGGCCGGAAATGATGTGAAAGTGAATTTGAAACATTTCTGTTTCCAACGGAGACCATGTATTGAATCCATGCTAGCAATGCGTTTTTTTTGCGTTATGACCGGTCACGCCACGTTTATTAGAAACAGATATCACAAAACCATTGGTCTAGTAAAGTTGGGAACGTGAAAGAAGCTATTCCCATATTCAAATGAAAAAAAAAAAAAAAAAATAATAAATTAAAATAAAATGAGCAAGTAGATGCCCAAATTCACTTCACATAATAGTAACAGAAGGTGAATGAAAATTTTGAAAAGTAGTGCTGGAAATAAAGGAAAGAGGTTTTATGCTTACCATTTCGAGCAGCCAAGAAATTGTGAAGTTGTTAATAAAAATAAAACAAAAAAAAAAACAGATTAAGAAAAAAAAAATAAAAAACACTTGATAAAAAAATATATATATAATAGAAAATAAAGGGGTTTCGATGATCCTTATTTAAAAAAAAAAATTTCAATGAAATAAAATAAAAAATAAAATAAAATAAAAAATTTTTTATTCATATGGTATGTTGATGTTGATCTCTCCCGTTTATGAACTTGGCGTTAAACTTTAATTTAAATTATTTATACTATTATTGTTATAATATATATGATATATTTTTTGTACTTTCTAAAATTGTCATTACAATATTATAAAAATGTGTTACTTTTACTCTAAAAAAATATACAGAGAAAAATTTATAAAAGCAAGCAAACAAAACGCTTAAAAAAAAAAAATCGAGAAATATTCTTATTCCTTAATCTTAAAAAAGGTTGCTTTTCGGAAAAGGAAAAATATATAAATAACTTATTTATATTATAACATATAAGAATATGACCATAATTACTTGCATCGGTAGAACCTTTCGTTCACGTTCAAATCAAAGTGCAAATTCAACCCTTCGTGTTGGAATCACCCGTTCAGCAAGTATAAATTCAACTCGTCGTCCTAGAACCTTTCGTTCGGGTTCAAATTCAAGCGTAAATTCAACTCTTCGTACAAGAACCACTCGTACCGGTTCAACTACTCGTTTTACCTTTCCTCATCTTCGTCCTCGTACCTTACAACGACCATGCGTTATACCGCAACGAAATCGAATCAGAATCAACTCACAAACACAAACACAAACACGACACAGACATCGTTTGACTAATCCTGCGATCGTAAGTAACCCACCTCAACAACAACCACCTCAACAACAGCCTCAACAACAGCCTGTTATTATGCCGACTTCTACCACAACTGCTATCCATGGAAACTTTCCCAATATAATTGAAGCACAAGATTACGACAAAATTTTTCCTCAATCTAATTATAATTTTGGGAGTGATATATTTAGTAGTTATGCTATTAGTTTATAATTTACATGTATTTATGACGGAAATTAATTATAGAATAGAATTCTTTCCTTGATGGAAATAATCAACCAACCATGTATAATATAATAATGTTTCACAATTTATACAATTTATGTCAATAAAACATCCGTGTATCAATTTGAACCCAAATTATCAAATTCTAGACATTTTTATTGTTTATTCAGACCAGATATCAACCGGTTGGTTTATAATGGAGTATTGTTTATTAATTAATGATTTTGATTAGTGTATTTGTATCTTTGGATGAACTCTTTTTAAGTTGTAATGGTCCCAATTTCATTTTTTTAGGTTAGATATCCCGTCTTATTGGTAACCTAATAAAAAGGTTGTTCTTTCCAAATCTTTACATTTCCCTATATAACCTCTGATAAACAAATTTATTTATGAATTGTGGTGGGTAATCTCGAACCAGCGTTTAAGAATTACATCAAACCATCAAACGTAAGTCCATTCTCTTTGATAAGTTCAGTTGGGATGCAGTAAAGTTTTTGTCGAACATTTTTATATGACTTATTAGTCAACAAACGGTTACCCGTTTTGAATCAAACTTTTATGCAGTTTACTCAAATGTCAATCGTGATAAAGTTTTTATATATCGCCTTGGCATTTGAATTATCTCCTAGGATCTTCGTCAGAAACTTCAAGTAGCACAGTATAATAATACTAAATAATCATGACTTCCCAACAAATTATCATTTTTATTTTTTTATATTTCTTTTAAATTTATTATCTTTTTTTTTTTTTTTTGTTTTATTTTGTGTTTATTGATTAAATACATTATTTATTCGGGTAATGTATTGCTGCAATATCAAATACACGGTGCAAGGTTGGTTTTGATTTAGTCTATACTAGATAGAAATTTTTGTACTCTCTCATTTGTAATTTGTAATTTTTCTTTACTTTACTTTTAATAAAGATTGTGCAAAGCTACCGCACGTTAAAATAAAAAAAAAAAAAAAAAAAATGCAATATCAAATACACGTTTCGCAAGCTCAAGTTGGATAAAAAATGACTTGAACGATTTCCTCTTTTTCTCGTGGACATGCCCAGGGCTTACTGAACGACTAATCCATTTAATTAAATTTTTAATGTAATTCATATTTTTTCCAAGTGATCCAAAATGTTCTTGACACCATGATAAATTTATATATTGCATATATGTATGTGCCATTATACCTCCCGATCGTGGTGGAAAATTTTTATTTCTATGAAGCTATGATCGCACAAATAATACAAGAATGTCATGCAAAGAAACATTATCATTAATCAGCTTGAGCCTTATTTGTCACTACATATAATACATGAAAATTTAAAAATGATATTTCGTTCCAAAACCTTTATTTAAATATAAAGTTAAAACATATTATATGTAATGATAATTGTTAATAAATAAAAAAAAAAAAAAAATGATTTGCTTAAACAACTCTTAGTAGCTAACAATCCAAACAGTCCCTTTAAGATATGTCCAATCAATTATTATCGTATAATTATCAAACAGAATTGGTTTTGTTGCCGGAATAATTGAATAAATGTGATTTATATATGCACTATATATATATATATATGTAAAATAATAATAATAATAACGCGTATCAAATAATGACTTGACAATCCAAAACAATAATGCGTCAAATGAGAACTGACCAAACAATTCCAATGTTTTGGAAATACTTAATATACGACCACGACTTACAATTAAACAACATTTCGCGTTGATCCCAAATTATAAATTAATTATTTACGGTTTGACAACAATTTATCTATGCGTTCTGCAAGTTCAGCAACGCGATTGTCCACAGCTTCAATGTTTCGATTAATTGTCGCGTTATTGACCTGAAAGGAATTCTCAAGCTAATTTTTAAAAAGGAATTGAATAAGTATGATAGGTACCGCAGAAAAAAAAATTCAATATTACGGTGAAACACAAACTTTTGCAGCGACATCGTCCAAATTCTTCAATTCTCCGGTAATTTTATTCTGCTCATTTGATAACATATCAATAGTCTCACTGAACACTGCAGCTTCTTGATGCAACTGTTGTAAAGATTTGAGGCGATTAACCAGAGAGGGCGCAATGGACATCAGAGGGTCTAGCTTATCCAAGAGGGCGAAGAGGTACTTGATCTTGTTTATTATATCAAGAAGTTTCCAGTAGGCATAAATTTTGTATTAATATCACTTTAAGGACAACGACAGATTAGTACATAATAAAGAAACATTGAGAAAATAAAATTACCTTTTCTTCTGTCTCGAAAGCAATGACTCCACCATTTGATAACTCTTTGTTCTTTAGCTCGTTCACCTTTTCCAATTCCCCAACCAAGGTTTTGGCCTTGCGGGAAACCGATTCCAAGTGACGTGGTTGTGCCAAAATCTGCATTTGTTGATCTAGCTTATCCACGACGGCAATAAGATTGGTGTTTGTTATCGAAATTGACTACGTTTAGGTCATCGAATCATGTTGTTATTAGAGTGATTAACAAATATTATAATCCAAAAGACTTGACAAGAATGACTTACGAGATCCTCGAAACTTTGACCATGAGCAGTGCCGACAAGTTTTTCTAAGGCGGCGATGCGATCATCGAGATCAACGGTCTTGGCTAAAGTGTGAACTCTGGTAGTTTCAGGTGAATAATACAATTCATATGTGACCATCTAATTCAAGTTAAGTTTTGTATTTAGACATTGGAAAAATTAAGGTGAAGTAAAATAAAATAAAGAAATTATTATGTTTGAAATTTTACTCACATTTTTCGCACTTTCATTACTTTCATTTATAGTTCCATTTGTCGTTGGTTCACCATTTATTGATCCATCCTTTTGCTCCGATATTCCATTCTCCTTGGGCAAACCCATATTTTTAAATGTCTGCAATTGATTGATCAATTTTTTGCCCAGCTCAGCTTGTTTTATTATCGCACCATCTTTATCATCTGAGATATCAGTATCACCCAAGGATTGACTGAAACGTGAGAGTTCGCTATGTAAGTTTGATAACACACTTTGAGAGTTCTGAGGGATCTGAGATAACTCTGCATCTTCCTAAATAATCGATTACATATGTCATCATGTGACAATGATGAAAGATAACTAACTACCCATGATTGTAAAGCTACCTTTTTTTTCTCAATTTCCTCTCCAAGTTCCTGCACCTCAAACATCAACCTTCTCAATTTTTGAATTGGAGTTTCTAATAATGTAGGGTCTCTTGGAACAATCTCATATTCATTCTCTAAATAGGCCTGATTGACAAATTTCTTGTACATTTGTTTCTTATGGCGAGTGAATCGATCGAGTTCTAAAGGTAAATTTGAATCAAATTGTAAATCAAATTTGAAGGAATCATCATGCGTTCAATCAGCCATACCTGATTCATCACTGTTAGCGTCGCTACCTTTAAACTTATCCACAGCCTCGCCAACTGAAATTTTGTCACGGACGATGTCTTCATTGGGCTCTTCCACATTTAAGAACTAGTTAAAAGAAACAATAATATTTTCAGAATTGCAAAATGAGCTAAAACCTTAAAGAGTACTTTGAAACTCACTCCATCGTCAGAGACTTCAGCTTCATCAGGGGAATCTGGTGTTTCGTAAACATCTGGTTGAGTGTCCTAGTGCGAGGGAGAAAATACAAATAACCAGTTAAAAATTTATTCACAAGGTAGCTAATCGCTCAAATAAAATGCAAGAAGAACTTACGATGTCTGGAAGCGCACTGTACTTGCTCGACATTTTTTACTAATGATACCAGAGAATCAAAAAATTGTCTCGTGAGTTAACTTTTGTTGTAGACTTTTGCGTAAGTCGGGGAACTGGGTGTTGGATTTTACAACGTTGTGCTACCTACCGACCAAATTAGAGTGTGGCGCAGCTGTTTGAACTGGAAAAAGGATAAGACCACATGAGAAGTAAATCGCATATCGAAATATTTTCATCTGAACGACATGTGTTAATAAAAAGTTGATTGGATATAAAAACGATAAAAGCTCCTTTCGCTTAAGCGATTGACTAACGCGTAAAAAAATCATGTGACGGCCCGTCGTTGTACAGACAACGCTTGAAACTGGAGGGAAAAAATCGATTTTATCATCAAAAAATATTTTCAAGCATATTAAATTTGATTGGTTGGTTGTATGTGACACGATTTTCGAAATCTGCGAACATGATATATAAGGTTCTCATTCAACTTCAAAAAAAAAAAATTGTAAACATGTCAGCCAAACTACCCCAGGTGAACTTTCACTTACTAAAAATTAATCAATTTCATAATAAAACACGTTCCAACCTTTTAAGTTATTTTCAGAAACGATATTTTCGACAGCGAGCCCACTCAAACCCATTTTCCGATCACTACCTCGAATAGTAACTATCAGTTTCATTTTTTAAATTACCTTTTAATTTCAATTTAATCACATTTAAATTTCTTGAAAACGTCGTGCATGACAAAATAGCCCAGTAAGTCCCGCTCACATGGATTGGTCTAGGCATTATCCAGAATTCTTTACTTTGAAAAATGATAACAATGATCAGGTTTCTAGTACACAACAAAATCCACCATCAATTCAAAAAAAAGTTGAATTTGCAGACCTTGGTTGTGGATATGGGGGATTGTTGGTTGCGTTATCCACTGTATTTCCAGACACTTTAATGTTAGGTAAATGAATCATTCCAATTAATTTCTTGATGATTAATCTTTATCCGTATCCTTTTTATTCTTGGATTTTCAACATAATAAAGGTATGGAAATTCGAGTAAAAGTTGAAGAATATGTTCGCGAACGAATCAACGCATTAAGGGCGCAGAATTCTGGACAATATCAGAACATATCCATTATAAGGATGAATGCCATGAAATTCTTACCAAACTTTTTTGAGAAAGGACAAGTAAGCATTTCTTTTAAACAAGTTTTAGCCAATTATGGAAATACCTTGACATCTAAAATATTGGGTAAAGTTGTCAAAAATGTTCTTTTTATTTCCAGATCCGCATTTTAAAACCAGAAAGCATAAGGCTAGGATCATCACGTGAGTTTAATGTGTAAAGGAGGTCATTGCAAATTGGACCTTTTTTTTTTTAAATGAATTTGAATTCTACTTTTCCAGAAATCAACTATTATCAGAATACGCCTACGTTTTGCGTGTTGGCGGTATAATTTATACGATCACAGATGTGAAAGACTTGCATGAATGGATGGTTAAACATTTAGAAGAACATCCACTTTTCGAGCGCATTTCAGAAGACGAAGTGGTAATTAATAAGGAACTTTCATTTGCGCAGACAAATATTTGAGGGGATGCTGGTTAACTCACCAATATAATTACGGGATTTAGGAAACGGATCCTGTCGTTCCACATGTTCGAACCGCAACGGAGGAAGGGAAAAAGGTGGAACGAAACAATGGAGACAAGTTTTTAGCATGTTACAAAAGAATTTTCGATAATGATTCCGATGATTGAAAGCAAAAAAGATTGTAAGTTTGTAAATTTTGCATGTGATGTGTATTTGTATAGTCTGGGAACTTAAAAATGTGGAAGACCAAATGGAGAAAATTCATGTGACTGTATATTAAAATAATGTGTGGGACAAGATATTTTTAAGGTTCAGCCATTTAAATAAACATGATCTTTTTCAATCCAAAAGAATTTGAATTTGTCAGAAACAAAGTTTGGTTACACGATAAGTTAGGGAACTGGTAAACTGATTTGAAATCAAGAGAAAATTCTTCATATCCTATATAAAGAAAATAAATAGGCGATAAGAAATATTAATCAAATGCTGGTTGTTAAAACAAGTCATGTGCGATAACGAACATAATTGTTTATTAGATTCTTGGCGCAGTATTTATGTTTGTATCGATCTACAGATGGTCTTATTATAAAGTTATTTTTTTGACAGACATTATAGAGGAAATCCAAGTGAAATAGGTAACTATGACGTATAAATTGAATCATCCTACCGAATGTAAATTTCAACGTGTCTAAATTTGTATAATTTTTTGATTTAACCCTATTGTAATTATTTATATTGTGAAACATATGATATAATGATACTCAATTTATTTATACGAAAAAAGTAAACCAACCATTGATAGTATTCATTTGAATTATCTTTAATCCTATTAAAAAAAATATATATATAAATATGTTGGATCAAATGAATTTATATTGTCGATATTATTGATTTTTCTTGCTCTCTCCTTTTAACAAAGGAGACGTCAATTCATCCAAAATTCTCAAAAATTCTGTGGTAAGAAATAAAACAAATCTTTGAAGATCGTCTTTAAAAGTCTGGAGTTAGTTGCATTCAAATATGGATAATAATTTTAAATAGTCGGCTGTGTGTCACTTTTAAGTGATGAATAACTATTGTACATATATTATCTCCCACTTTTAAATTTGGGGTGCAAAGTTTTTATGCGGCATCGTATTTCTGCCATACCACACAGTGACCTTTTTTGTATGTGGCAGTAAAAAAAAAAAAAAAAAAAAAAAAAAAAAAAAAGCTCACACAACTCTAACCTCTCACCAGCCTTTTTCTTTTTCACTATATCAGCTACTTTGATTTCCTGCTAAAAAATACCAACGATATTCTTTTGTATTGGAATGCAGAGCTTTATTTTATTTATCGAACTTTATTTATAAAAGGTTTATAGTTTTACTTAAACTAGTTGAAGGTACCTTTACTATTATAATATTTACGACTTTTTTTTAAAAGGGTTCCTTTGCATTATTTCCTTAAATAGGTACGAGATTCTCTTTAATCTAGTGAAATTGCTTTTCAAATATTACGACTTGAAAGTTTTAAAATTATTTATCATTATATAGTTTCATTAGTTTTATCACCCCTTGTTCGAATATTTGGTTGTCAAAAGTATTCAAAAATTTTAAATTACGCATTGGACTTTTTATTTCCAAGGTAACTATTAAATTATAATAAATTCATGAGGCGTTCACCAACATATGTAAATTCGATTTATTGTAATTTGTTAGGAACGGCTATATTGAGGTGTATAAGAAGCACGTCGAGAGAGAGTTGTAAAAATAATATCATCAGGTATGTTTGAGCTTGATTCTTTAGAGACTTTATCGATCCCATTTATTTCATAAAATTAAGGAGACACCTCGATCTTATAGTTGTTTGTCCACCCATTAATGGTTGAAAATAACATGCATTCACCATCAAGCAAGTCGGTTACTACAAATGAAGGTATGTTTCTTTCAAAAACAATCATTACTTAGATTATTATAAGATGGTTTCCACCTCATGAATTAAATGATTGGATGATTTTTGTCCAATCATTATAATGAATGATTTCGGAGAGGAGCAAACAAATGTCAAAAATGTTTTTGACAAAAAAAAAAAATTTCAAAAAATAAAAAATCAAAAACGTGAATGGAACACATTCATTTAGATTCCGACATTTCTACTCCTCCAGCCGGCATATCTCCCGAAACATCTAAATCATCATCATCATCATCCTCGCCGGTTAAAAAGGCGTCAACTAAATTCCCCGCTAAAGATCTTCCTCCACCAACTATTGAACAAACTCCAACACGATTTTTAGCTGCATGTTCAAAACACGACTTGGAACCAAATCCATTCGAACAGAGTTTTTCCGGTGTCAATCCTCTTACAGAAAGTACCGGAGCGAATAGTCCAAAACCTAGCTTACCTCCGGTTGCACAACTTGAAAGCCCATCAGCCGGTATCCCTACTAATGAGGATCAATATGGTTGGAATTTACAATCACTGCGAAGTGGGCCATTATCACCTTCCATGTTAGCGGGACCACAAGATTCAATGATGTTTGATGACCTTAGAGCCGGACGTACTGGAACCACCCCACTTCCTTACGGTTCATTCCCAGATCCATCACCTCGAACGGCCGCACTTTTTGGAACACAAAATTCAAGTTTGGCCTCGTCATTCATGAATGTGATGACATTGTCAAGTGCCGCGAATGCTACGGATCACTTCGGTCGTAATGTGTTCGCTCAGAACGTCCAAAAACCACTCACAGATTCAGATCGTAAAACAATCTCGGATTCCGTTACTTCCGTCTCGGGTACTTCCACGTCACAACCCGGTGTTATACAATCTGGGGTTTCCTCTGTGAACGCAACGAATTTGCTTGGTATAAATAATGGTTCTAGCACGGGTGCGCCTACGGCCAGTGTAATGGTAACGAATCCACTTGGTCATACAGTAATGGTTGCAAATCCTACCCTTAATCGAAATATGATGACTTCGACTCAACAAGATACAATAAATCGAAATGTATCCATGATGTCAGATACAATCATGCCAAAAACCGAAAAAGATGATTTTACAGAGTCTGCGATCATATTAAATAATGGAACACATTCTAATGGTATAAGTTCGAATATATCGCATCATAAAGGACCGGTTCTTACTGGTCAATCGATGGATCATGATGATGATCGATCAGACAGTTCCAGTCCTATAAAGAGTATTCCTCGTAGTGTACGTCGAAAAGCTGAAGATGGTTTGATTTCTGAACAACCTCCCGCAAAGAAAAATGGACAAAAATCTAAGAGTGATATGACGGACGAAGAAAAGCGAAGGAACTTTTTGGAAAGAAATCGTCAAGGTATCTAAATGTTCTCATCTTTTTCTCTAATTTTGTAGCAATTGTAATTTCATTAACATTCATGTTGTATATAGCTGCACTCAAATGCCGCCAACGTAAGAAACAATGGCTCGCTAACTTACAGGCTAAGGTTGAATATCTTACGAATGACAATGAGACTTTGCAGAATCAGGCACAAAGCTTACGTGAAGAAATTCTTAATTTAAAAACATTATTACTTGCACATAAAGATTGTCCGATTGCTCAAGCTAATGGAGTTATGGGATTAGATTCAATACAACCCACTGTTGGAGGAATTGCACAAAATATGTCTGGAATGAACGTCGGACATAATGGAATTCCAATTGGAATGGTTCCAGGTACTATGCAAGGAGGCATTCCAGTCACAAATGTACAAGGAACAATGGCAATGACAAATGTTCAAGTCCCTCAACATATGTCAAATCATGTAAATGGGCCACCAGGTTCTGGTATGATGAGATATTAAAAAAAAAAAAAAAAAAAAGAAAAAAAAAAAAAATCTTTTATAACAAACTTCGATGAAGGAAAAATTCTTGATAGTTCGATAATGTTTAACTTTCATCATTTATGATGGATAATAAATCAATATGGTTGTTCCCTTTATACACTTTTTTTCCGCTAGCAAAATCATTTTTGGACATTTTGGGTGGGTTGTACTTTTCTCCGCAGAATTTCTTTATTTGGTTTTTCATTTTTCGCTAGTTATATTTTTCTTGGTTATATTATGTGGTTGTTTTTTTTCTTCTCCCTTTATTAAGAAATTATACATATATATATATTTTTCCTTTCATTATCCAAGTTTTTCTTTGTACAGTTTTATTTTTTTTAAAGGTTTCCTCATTTTTTTATTACTATTATTATTATTATTACAATTATTATTATTATTATTATTATTATATTATTGATTTTTTTTTTTTTTTTTTTAAAAAAAAAATTATTATTTGCTTTTGCTACATAATGTAGATGATTCTTTTTTTTTTTTTTTCCTAATTAAATTGTAATCGAAATTTATTTTGATTATCATTAAATTTTGCTACCTTTTTTTCACTTAGCATATTAACCAACCATTTCTGCGATTGGCTCACTGTATATAATGACAATGAATTAGTGATTCAGCAGAAATTGAACGCGTCGAGTAACAGAGAAAAAAAAAAGGCGCGACAAAATGAAACCCAAGGGAGAAATGACTAATGCAAGATATAATATGGAAGCTGAAAAACCGAAAGGGGAAGCTCTAACGAGATAAAATAAGACGTACAAGAAATAATAATAATATTATAATTTATATATACTTATTTATTATCATAGTAGAATTGAAGATATTATCAAGTTATTACATATATATTCATTTATTTTCGTTATAGAAAACATCTCACCAAAAAAAAGCCTTAGTAATTTCTTTGCAAGAAATTCTTTTTGTTTTTTTAAAATTTATAAATGTACATTTTCCTTTATTTTGGCGTTTTTAACAAAACAATTTTGTATCTATATTAAATTTTTACTTTTACAATAATAAAAAAAAAAAAAAAAAAAAAAAAAAAAAAAAAAAATTAATTTCTATTCTGGTGATTTTAACTCGTGAAAATACAATAAGAATCATAAAAAAAGAAATACAGTAACTAATTAAAAATTTTGATGTGATTTAGTGTGTGAATATTAAAAGATTTTCATATTATGTTTAAGCATATCTAGTTATTTTTGTTTTTAGGCAATCACAACCGAATATCGCCGCCTCAAATCGTAAAGCGCAGTATGAATTTTCCGATAAGTTCAGGAGGTTTCAGATCCGAGCCGGGTGTCATCACATGAAACAATGAAAAATTACATTACTGTAAGATAAATAAATAAAAATCACCTTTTCTTTTATTTTTATTTTTATTTTTTTTTTCCTCTCAAATTAAACATGACTTCTAGAGTTGTAGTCTTTGGAGGTTCTGGTAACTTAGGCAAAAGTTTAATCACATTATTCAGAAAGAATAATTGGGTAAGCTATCAAAAATTACTTGAAATTGCACATTTCAAAGCGTGTTATTTTTAAATTGCGCGTGATAATGCGGTTTAGGAAGTGACTTCAGTTGGAACACGTCAAATTGAAGAAGCCACTCATAATATTATAGTTTCAAATGATGATTCTTTAGAAGTACAAGGGAAGAAAGTTATGAAAGATTCCAATTCAATACTTGATGGCGGAGAAAAGTATGACGCTATCTTGTGTGTGGCTGGTGGTTTTTCCATGGGGAATTTAGCCAAAGGGGGTAAATAATTGGGATTTCCTTTTTGATAGCAATTTTTATTGTAATTCTACGTTCGTTCTTTTTTTTTAAAAAAAAAAAAAAATTAAAAACGTTTTGATTTAGATTTCTTTGAAACCGTGGATTTGATGGTGAAGAAAATTTTGAATTCCGCTTTGATCGCGTCGAAAATGAGTACGGTGAACCTTAAAGAGTACGTAAATATAATTTGATTACTTGTAAATGGTAAGGAAATTCCCAATTTTGAGATGATACCCCTGCGATGTTATTAGGGATGGTCTCTTGATGTTAACTGGCGTATCCGGTTTGCAACCTACTCCAGGTATTGAATGAAATTATATAATATATATAAAATATATATATTTTTAAAAAAAAAATATTAACAATATTTATTTATGAATTTAGGATATATTGGATATGGAGTTGCAAAAGCCGCCGTTCACCATTTATTCGATAGTATAGTCTCAAAAGGCAGCGGATTACCAAAAAGCGTAAAATCTTTTGCCATCTTACCGTAAGTCTCGTTCCGTTAAATCCTTTGTTCGTTACCAAAAATGTTCGAGATAAATTTCGATAATATTCTTAATTAGGGGAACGATTGACACTCCAGATAATCGTAAAGGAATGCCAGATGCTGATTTCTCTCAGTGGATACCTTTAGATCTATTGTCTCAGTAAGTATACCCCTTCCAGCTTTAAATTTATCTCCATTTGATTATTCTATTTTATTCATCTCATTTTAATTTATGTTTAATTTTTATGTTTTTTTTTAAAAAAAATATATATATGTGTAGGCGTATATTTGATTATACTAATGGAACTGTACCCGCACCTCACGGAAAAATGGTTCAGGTTACCACCAAGGATGGTGAAACTAGTTTTGAACTTATAAATAAATAAGAGAAATTTATGGACAAAAAGAATTTGCAAATATGTATATTTCACTTTTTATTGCTAAGCATAGTACAAAAAAAATCATATCATCTATGAATTTAACTAATAAAGATATTTCATTTTTTCCCTTCCTTTGTTTCACCTCCCTCTTTATCTTTTACATCTTTTTCTTTAGTTTTACTTTCTTCCTTTTTTTCTTCTTCAATTTGTTGAACACTTTCACCTTTGAGATTTTCAATTTTGTTATTAATTAAATTGTGAAGCGCAATAACAGCACGAATTAAAGAAGACAAATAAATCACCAATAATTGATCATTTGTCTTTACAGAAAATGATTTAACAGTATCGCTAACATTAAGATTTGGCAGTAAATTAAAAATATCTTGAAGGTTATAGATTATTTGATGATTAATTGGTAATTGATGATTAACAACTTTTTGTAAATATTCACGAATTTCCTCGAGGCGTGACTGTAAACCCTTTAAAGAATTTAATTGATCTGTAACTCGGGTCGATAAGGTGCCAACTGCATTATCTTTGATGTCACGTAAAAGATGTTCAACTCCTATCTCTTCGGCTTCTTCCGCTTCAATTTGTGAGGGAACATGCATAAACGTTTTAGTGGTCGCCGTTCCATCCTTTTGATATCAAAAATTAGCAGAAACATTTTAATATAAATAAATATCATACATGTACTTACATACATACATACATATATATAAATATATTTAAAAAAAGGCTAATATTTAAAAAGATCACTAACGTCTTTGATTTCTTCGATGGCAAAGTAAGCATCCGTTGGTATGCCTATATCTTTTGGTTTTACATCTACGATAACTAGAACTGGATTGGGTGTATATCTTTTGAATAATTCATTAATTTCAAGATCTGATGCACGAAGTTTAGGACCACTATGGTACCATCCAATCATCTTCTCCCTGGCTATTAATTTAAATAGTTTTTTTCAGTGTTTACGAAAATGAATGATGGAATGAAGACAAATCGTGACCAACCTCCTTACCATTGACTTTCTTAAACATGTCATTCATGGCTTCAACATAATTATGATCCAAAAACCATACAGATGGATCTTTTTCATCTTCCTCAAAGGGCACTATAACAATTATTATTATTATCCAATTCAAAAAGTTTTAATTTTAGACGACCTATTTTTTTTTAAAAAAAAAAAGTACAAAAAAAAGGAATAGGTTCTTAAATATATACCAGCAAAACTGTTTGCCACATTAACGGTTTTGCCATTGTTTTGTCCTAAAAGAACTCCAACAACACGCTTTTTAGTACTTTCAGCTACACGATTATAATGATCTACCACAGATAATAGTACCAAAGGATGAACAATTACAGCGGTATTCTGCGAGATCGTTATAGGGTTCGTGGTAGGTAACATGATTTTAAACTACTTTTAAATACTTGAATAAAAAAAAATAAAAAAAAAAAATATATTTTTTTTTAATTCGTGAAGGAGGAAAGGATAAAAAAAAACGCGAACTATGAAAATAGTCGCGATAAAAAAGTAGAAAAAAAAAAAATTTTTTGAACTCGAAATTTATGTTACCGAAAATCATGAAACTGCTGACGTACCCGGTGACGTTTGCATTAAAGATGTTGGTTAAGCATTAATCCATTTTTTTTGTTTTTATTATTAATATTATTATTATATTATTATCATTATCACAATTTTTCAAACAAAAAAGTATTAAAAAGAAACGATTAAAATAATAATCGGTTTCTCTACAATTTTTATTTTTTTTAATTCGTTTAGAAAAAAATTTGTTAAAAACAAAATCTTTTGGGTAATTGAAAATGATCGTTATCACATTTTTATAGATTCTATTCACATGACAAAGATCATGTCAGAATTTTGGGAATCGATTTAATCAAGTATAAATTAGAAATTATAAACCCATATATGGTGTATTTTTTTTTTTTTTTTTTTTTTAGGAAAAAAAATAAAGGCGCGACAATTATAACGGATTGTCTTTATCCATCCATCAAAACGTTTCCTAATAATGGCGAGTGTAGCAAGTCGAAATCCATTCGACCTATTAGGTGAAAGTGAAGAGGCTGAGTCCGCTGTTAAACAGCAAGAGCCAGCTCCAGCAAAAGAAACACTAATCGTTAAAAAGGTTGATAGGTCTCGTGCAAGTCCTAAAGAGGCTAGAATTCGTCACGATTATCCTCAAAGAGGTGGTTTTAAACCTTCTACCTCAAGCAGAAATGAGGATACGAGATCTGGTATGTATTTGTTATCATGTAAATATAATCTGTAAATAAATAAATAAATAAATAAATACATAAACGCAGCATTTTTAAAACCGTTGTGTCGCGATCTCTCGAAAATCTTGCGATCATTTTTTTGTTAACAACGTTTCAAAACAATTTTTTTGAAATGTTTTCAATGAGAATTCTTTAAACTACCACCCCTTTTTTATACTTTTCATTTAGAAATGACTAATTTATTTATTGTGTTGTGCAGCTCCCCGTGATAGAAATGTAGGCCCTCGTCTCTCCGGTCGTCGTGAAGAAGGCGGTGGTGGTGCAGGCGGTGATTATCCTACAAGGAATTCACGTGGTGCTCGTCCAAACGATCGAAATCGTGGAGGCCGCGGAGGTCGACGTGGTGGACGTGAACATGATAGGCATAGTGGAACGGGCAGATAGTAAGTATTAATTAATATATTGTACCCATTACGATTATTTGATAAAATTCATTTATCTTCTATTTAACAGTGATAGTGAAAAGAAAGAAACCCAAGCGTGGGGGGATGCTGCCACCTCTTATGAGACAAATGAAACTCCTGCGTGGGAAAATGCTACTACAACCGAAACTTCTAGTTGGGATAATACCAATACGACCGAAACATCAACTTGGAAAGAGACGACCGAAACTACCGAGTCTTCTGGTTGGAATGCGACATCTGATGCTGATGCCAATGCTGGTGGTGGTTGGGGAGAAGATAAAACCGAAGAAAAAACTGGCTGGGATGCCGATAAAACTGGAAATGATTCTAATGCTTGGGTACAACAACCTGAAATCGAGGAAGTTACGATTGATCAAGGAGAGAATACTGCCGCCGTTGAATCTACTCCAGTTCATGAGCCCGAGGAAGTCGTAAAGACTTTTGATGAATACCTTGCCGAAAAGGCCTTAAAATCTTTAGATATTTCACTTCCCGAAGCTAGAAAACCCAATGAGGGAACCGATGATTCTCAGTGGAAAGATGCTATTCCCCTTGAAAAAGAAGACGAAGAAGATTTCCTTTTTACCGGAAAAGTTAGTAAAATAATATATTGAAATTTGTCTTTAAAGATGTTGATTTTATCTAATCGTTGATGAAATAATTCAATTCATTTAGGAGCAATCTTATCGTCTCAAGAGTAAGAAATCTAAAGCTAAAAATTATTTGGAAATTGAGCCAACTTTTACTGAAAGACCTGGAGGTGGATTTCAACGCGGACGTGGTGGTCGCGGTGGTCGTGGTCGCGGTGGTGGTCGTGGAGGTGACCGCGATGGACGTAGCAGTCATCGCGATTATGATAATGACAATCGTGATAACCGTCGTCGCGGTGGCGGGCGTAGTGGATTCGTCAACATTGATGATCAAAGAGCTTTTCCAAGTCTTGGTACTGCTTAAATTCAAGCATTATCAAAATGAGGAAGATTCTTTCAAAGAACAATATCTTATCATTACCCAAAATTAAATGGGACAATGTATTTCCTTTTTTTTTTTTTTTATTCATTATATGTGCGTTGTGTATATATATATTTGTTTTTTTTTTTCATATTGGATTGGCATATGTTTACTGTCTCCTTTTCCATTTACTTGACAGAAAAGAAAAACAATAACGTTAGAAAGCAACCTTAAAAAAAAAAAAACCAAAAAAAAAGTTAATTGTATTATTATTATCAACAGATCAGTCAGATCGTAAAGGGAGTTTAGTTCTCTTTTTTAAAATAATGAATGTAAATCATTTTCGATTATTTATTACGTATATGATTTTCCACATATTTATAGTTTTTAACAAGGGAAAAGGAGGTTTGTAAAAAAAAAAAAAAATATATATATATATTATTCAAATATCAAAAATTCCACATTTTTTTTAATAATATTTTATTTTTTATTTTTTTGATGTAAATAATTACCTATCAAACAAAAAGTAATAAATTATGTTATTATCAAACATAATCAGTAAGTTTTTCCCTCAGTTTTACAAAGTATGCATGTGGATCAATATGAACGGAATTTCAATATTATTAACAATTTTGATTGGCCATATGGTGCACGACCCTGGTTAGACAGTTTTTAACACGGTAACCCTAGAATCAAATCATACCTAAACGGCGCCCCAAACGACAAAAAAAAAAAAAAAAAAAATCTCAGAGCCTCATAAAAAACACTAAAAAAACTGATATGCCAGTTTGTAGTGTTTTTAGTGTGTACCATCGAACTTTTCTTTGTAGTAAACAGGAAAAACTCACTTGCGTTTTCGAACGATCTTGCAAACTAAACTCACGATCATTTGTAAGATCTCCATTCTCACCGAAATCCAATTTCTTCGAATCGCAGATTACTCATAAAAAAAACCAACATAAACCAGTTAATCATCGAGGGTCAAGTCTCATCATTTCAAACAATCTGGGTCTACCTTCGGGATTACAATAACAAAAAACAACTTTGTTTAGGTTTTAAAATATTTCTCACTTATACTTTTCGAACAATCTAGTTACTTTTCCTTTATAGATCGTCTGAAGATGCCCCAAAAAACTGACAGTGTCGGCACGTCACATGCAAACAACCTTATAGTCAATGGCAAACAAATGTTTAACGGTAATGTGACTAGTCCAGAACCCATAAATAGCCCTCAACAACAGAACAAAACAATTGTTGAATCAACAAATTCGCGACGATTATCCTCAGCTACAGATCGTACGGTGGGAATGGTCTCAAATCCCAGTCGAAGCAATTCCCGACAAACCAAAAATGCTACTTCAAAAGTTGACGACCCAGTTGGGTAAGCAAGTCACTTCCCAATTACATTGTGAGTGGTCAGAAGAAATCTAGTGTAGACTCCGTATTTATTGTGTCAAGGGATTTTCTTTAAGGTCCCCCTTCCCAGATGGCGAGAATGTATATATTTCCCTCAAAATATTAAAAAACATTTTTCTTTCCTTGTCATAATGTAGTAATTTTCGTTTGTCTATTGACGAATCTGTAATTTCAGCATTGTTGGACTGCGCCTATGCTGACGTTAAACATGAAGTGTTGGGCTACTTGGGTGGTTCATGTGATGTAGATCGTTCTGAAAACACTATTGTTTGTCGTGTTAGTCAATTTGTAGCATCAGAGAGGTAAATTTTGACGATTATCCCGAGGCTTAGTAACACCAATCTTATGGGGCGCAGCAAATTCTAACGACAAATTTGAATCAAAAAAAAATTTTGTAGAATTGTCACTTCATTATTGACTGATGAAGTGCAAGAAATGATTAACTCACGTGAAAACGCCATTAAAATTTTTACCGATAATAATTTAGAATTTGTTGGGTGGTATCGAAGGTACTTCATAATATTTAATTGTGTGATTACACGTTTATGAATAAATCCGCATTTGCTCCATCTTTATTGGAATTCGATCTTTTTTTGGCCATTTGTTTAACGTATATATATATATATATATTTTTTTTGTTTTTTAAAAAAAAATAAGCAATTTTCAATCAAATTCAAATTCAATTCCTACTCAATCTGATATCATAAAGAATACAGCGATACAGTCTGAGGTGAGATAATTAAGAAAATTCTTTAAATTTATTTTTTTTTTTTTTTTGGTTTTTCCATTTTTGTAATTATCTTTGATTATAGTTCCCAAATAGTGCAGGATTTATTATAAACATATCAACCACATCTTGCCCTTCAATCGGTTCAAAGGGGATAGGCATAAACGGACTAGTCAATTCAATAAGCGTTTTTAGAACTTTTGAATCGTCTAGTATGAATGGTGATATTAATAATTCGGTACCATTAGTTAATAGAACGAAAACTGGTAAAATATGGAAGGGCAAAGGAAAAGCGAATTTGAAGGCGAACAAGGTTTCCTTTAATGTAAATCGTCAAATGTATATTTGTCCGAATGTTATGCAACAATTAAGCTGCGCATTGATGGTATGATAACGTTACCTTTTGTAGTCTTGAATGATTTTGAAATTTATTAAAATGATGAGATCCCCCAAATAAACTATTTTAATTTGGAAACAGACAATTCTTCGAGAAACAAGACAGACTTATGCCGGACAAGTTTTAGAGTGTGAGAATAGGAATGGTCAACGAATATTCGTTGATTCACAGTATGAATCTTTTTTAATGAATTTCCTAAGGAAAAGTGTCCTACAGGTTAGACATTTTTTTTTTTTTTTTTTTTGAGGAATCAAAAAAGAAGAGGAATTATTTATATTTTATTTACATCTAATGTTTGTATTGCAGTTTGATAGATCAATAGATCAAGATTTTAGGACGCTTGCCTTGGCCAAACTTCATATTAAATCATTAATATCAAAGCGCGTTAATGATACTCTGGCGATTTTACAGAAAAATACAGATACCAACGACAACGAAAAGCTTTCAAAACGACGGAAACTTGATAAATTAATTGAAAAGGTGTTGTCGAATATACGTTTCTCTTTGAAAATTATAAATAAATAATTAACTTTTTTTTTTTCTCCTTTTTTTCGTTAATTCAGTTGGTCACCCAACGTATGGATAAACGCGAAAAGGAAATGAGAAAATTGGAGAATGGAGATGATGTAGTTCTATGGCTTAATTCAAAATCACAAAATGATGGGAAAACTGTGGATGAGGGTTCTACATTTAATAACTCTGCATTGTCAAAGTTGGAACAATCACAGAAAACGTCGGTTCATAATAAATCTGTTATTGAAAGTTCTGAAGTATTGACCTCTTCCATTTCCAACCATTTGGAACAGAAAATCATGTCGACATTTAAAAAAGAATCTTCTATACTGCCTCAACCAAATAACACTAAATTGAAAAATAATAAAGTGAAAGAGAATGTTGAACCGGATCATGATGTGGTTGTAATTGAATCTGATTCGGAAATCAGCGTCGGAAAATCTGAAGGAAAGCCATCAAAATCACTTTTGAGAAAGCCCAGTCTGGATTCATCTCAGCTTAACCCAATTTCAAAAAGACTTAAACCTTCAGAATCAAGTCTCCCTAATGTATATTATATTGAATCTGAGTCCGGGGATTCTAAATCGATATTTGGTTCCAATCATGTTCAAGTAAATGGAACTTCGTCTTCCCTTCAATCAAAAGGCCTACAAATATCACCGCTCCTATCAAAATCTTCAACTTATCCTCCTTCCTCACCTATGCCAAATTCACCACCATCAAATATAGCAATTTCTAATAATAATCCCACAGGGCCTAATGGAATTCAATATTCACAAATTAATTATCAATATCAAAATAATTCAACTAATGAATTTCTACCCTTTCGTAATGGGCCCGAAGAATTGAATGCAACTATTCGCTCACCTACATCTCCTAATGATAACAAGACCGTTAATACTTCTCAAAGTTCTGGAATACATTTACCAAGTATTCAAGGGTTATTGGAGATTTCAAGTCTCGCAAGTATTCAACCAACGTCACCGAACTCTTTACCTATAGTGGTAGTAGATCCGAGCTCTACCATCGTTCAGCCTTCTTCTTTCCCTACTCCTCCTCTTTTACCATCATTTCAACATAGTCATTATTATTCATATAGTCAACAGCAAGCAATGTCAAGGACAACATCGCCACCGAATACATCACCAATACAGCATCATTTACTTTCCATTAATAATAATACATCTACTGTATCAACCTCAACCAATTCAAGACATTACATCCCTATTGCTCCATCGCCAATTTCAACAACGACAGGAGGAAGGAATCGGCCACCGCAGACTTTACAAACATCCACTTCTACATCTATTTATGCCAACAATACAACAAATCATTTAACATTTCCTGCAACAGAATCAGATTATCAATGGCAATTATGATTTAGTAATATTTACTGGGAATTTGATTTAAAATAAAATAGTTCTTAAAGTTTAATTTACCTTTTTTTTGCATTTTTTTTTTTATTTTTATTTTTATAGTATATAATAATTAAACGTTCCTCAATTTTTCACGAAAACGCAAAGGATAAAAAATAATATTAGCAAAATTACAACCCTAATAGGATAATCTGTTTTAAATTGTGTAAATTTACATGTCCAATTTTTGAAATTTATTTTCTCTGTAATTATTTTTTTTACCTATTATTCTTTTTATTTCCCACTTTTTTCACTTTTTTTTTTTACCCCTTCTTTTATCCTTTCATCACCCCTTGAATGAATATCTTGTAATGATAAGCAAAGTTTGAAAGATAGACTTTTTTTATCTGGATTTTTTTTTTTTTTTTTTTTTTTTTAAAAAAAAAAAAAAAAAAAAAAAAGAATATTTAAAAAACTCATGAAGTATTAAGTAAAATGGGTACATTACTTAAATTCAATATTAATGGTTATTAAAATCTTTAAATTATAATTTTTAAAAGTAATACCACTTATATATTAATATTAAAAGTATTTTCAAATTTGTTAGAATTTTTGATAATTTTCAATGATTTTTTAATAAGAAAAATTTTTTTTTTTTTGCCTTGTAATAATAAATTTTGTAAATAATTAGATTCAAAAAAAAAAAAAAAAACTTTTTCCGTGCTAACTTTATTTTTTTTGTTTTTTTTTTTTTTTTTTTTTTTTTTGTTTTTTTTTTTTTTTTTTAAAAAAAAAAAAAGTTAAATATAAATTTCGTGTATTTTCTTTGATTTTTAATTAAAAAAAAAAATTGATTTCGACTTTTTTTTTTGTTTTTTTTTTCTTTTGAAAAAAAAAAATTATTAAAAAAAAAAAAAAAAAGAAAATTAAAAAAAAAAAACTATATATATACCGTATATGTATAAAGGTTAAGATAATAATAAGAGAGAAAAAAAATCCTTAAAACTATACTACAAAAGATATTCATTTGGAATTTGCAATGAAAAATATATATATTTATATATATATATATATATTTGCGGATAAATGTTGGGTATTTACTAACGTTAAATGCGAAAAATATAGATGTATTTTGCCAGAATATATATATATAAGTGAAATGAATTCAAAATAAAAAAAAAAGCTTCTTTTCTTGTCGAATAATTGTTAATTAAGACTATAATCACAGAATGAAATTCCATTCCCTTCTAATAATGGTTTAAGGGTCAATTTTTGATACGGTGTAGAAACAGGATCAAAATAATAACCTAGTAAAGAAATAAAAGTTATGGTCCATATACAAATAAATTAATGATAATTGAAATTTTAAATTACCTTCAATAGCTCCATCACTCCTCCTAATGCAAATATAATAAAATCCGGCAATAGTTAATCCACTTTCCTGAGCAGTTACGTTAACAAAATAATGCTCTACATAAATGCAAAATTTCATATAAGTATGCATCTCCTAAAAAATAAGATCTCGTGTAACGACCAAAAAAATATATAAATGCGCACCCTTCCATCTCATGAATATATATTTTTGACATGCTTCTTGAAACCATTCTCTAGTTGGGGTTCCTCTGATTACACTAATTATAAAAAATAGGTTTAGTAAAAGCATGTCAATCTTAAAAAACTTTAGAACTTTTGTAATTATTAATACCTTCGAACATCCATATGACGGAAGGCTTCGAATTTCTTCCAATGTTGAAGATCAATTTCCGGGCTAGAATTCCATTTATCCGTCCAAAGAAAATGGTTAACGAAATCAATCATTTCACCTTCCCAATACGTAACAACGGTGTTTGAACTATTTGGTACATTCAAAGCTTCCATTAATCCTATAACGGTTCCTGTCTTATAATTTACATAATGAATTGTCTATATTATTAAAAAAAAAAAAAAAAAAAAAAGAATTAAAGATAATCCTAATTGATTTATCAAAAAATTATTTAAATAATATTTACCACTTTAACTTCCCATTCTTCGTCCCTTTGCTGAGGATGTGAATTCATTAAATTTTGCGTTCCGGTAAACGACATTCCAGCACGCAAAAAACTAGATTCTGGCAAATGAAATTGCCTCGAATCCTTTGAGCCATTATCGGATATAGCTTGTTTGGAAAGTTCGTTATTATTTTTAACATGTTGCGTAAGAAAGGAAGATGTAATTGCATTTTGTCTCCGCAACGAGGAAAACCGCGTTCCTAACGGAGAAAAGCCATGACTTCGTTGTGAGGAAGATCTATGGTGGTGACGGGTAGCATGAGGGTCAACAAGTCGTTGAAAAGTATGACTTGTTGTTGGCGTCGGACGAGGACGCTGTTCTTCGTCAGAAGTGTATTCACCATCTAAATCCATATTTATTGTATTGTAATCGCCATAATGACGTCCGTTTGAAAGATCGTCCACTGTGTCAGTATTACTTGTTTCTATATCCTCCTCTTGTACGTTATTATTTTCTTCCAAGTCACTCTCACTAGTTGGAATTAGATCTGAAGTGTAATAAAATCCTGGGTCGAAATCGTTTGCTGCAAACATGAGGTTAATGAATTTGCACAAGGTATTTTAAAGAATCGTATATTTTATTTCTTTTTTTTACTAAATTATATAAAATAAAGCACTTTTTATCAAGAATTTAAGCGAGAATTCTGTAATAAGCGTGTGACAACTGCCGATAATCAATAAGGCGCACAACAGAATTCTTTATAAATAAAGTATAAATATGTATCATATGATATATACAATCCTGTACAAACTTTAAAAAAAGTCAAGACTATATATTGTAAAAGTTCCCTTTGTTCAGATAAATCAAATGATAAGAAAAAAAAGGTAATAATGAGTTTATTTGTGTTATTTGTTTTAAAAAAAGTGACATTTTGCACAAATGGAGTTATTTAACACAAAAATGTACCGAATTTCCCAATCTACTGGAATTTTCTCAATTTAATTTATACTGCGGTTATTCCCTGTTAGGTAAAAGACCAGTGAATAAAGTTGAACAAATGTCTGTGATATCGATTGCAGTAACACGGATACACAACATAACTCTCCAGCTTATTATTTTTGATTTTTATTTGGTTTGTAGTTCAAAAATATGCCGAAAGAACCTAAAGCGAAGCGTCAAAAGGAGAAAGAAACTCCTCCACCACCTCCCTCGGATAATGTATGTTTTGGTAAAAAGAGATAAAATTTGTATAAATTAAGTGAATTATAAAAAATTTAATCAAAAATAATAAATAAACGAGATTTTTGATTAATTATTTTTACAGCCTCGTCAATGTCATTTTTGGGTAAAACGTAAGAGGTAAACTAGTCTCGTACGTCAACCAATACCTACGATTTAAATGCAAAGGATCCAACATAATCTTAATAAATTTAACCTTTTTTTTCATAGGCGATACTGTCATCTTCCAACAAAGATCGATAATGACTTTTGTGGAGAACACGCAATTTATGATGCAAAGAGAAAAGACAGAGAACGTATTGTCTGCCCCTATGACCCATCGCAGTGAGTCACGTGACGTAAACTTTTCAGTTATTTTCACCTTGTTAATAACGTTGCCTTTTACATTCATCAAGTACAGTGAATAAGGATGAACTCGAAAAACATTTAGAAAAAAAATGTAATGCTCGTCCTCCACCAATTCCATCATATTTCTCTTTGAACATCAATTGTACTTTACCGTTCCCTGAATTTGAAGAAAAAGTGACTCTTTCACATCTTTCTAAAGAAACATTAGATATACTGATAAACAATGTAAATCAATGGTTTCAAAAGCTTGTCCCTAGTATAAAGACGGAAGTGTTGGATCATCTTGTTTTAAAGGAAAAAAAGTATGCCCCCCTTTGGAATTCAGTTTACATTCTATAATTTTCTTTGTGTTTGATACATAATCATTATAATTTATTTTAGGGAATCAACTAAAAATGGAAAGCATGCGGTTCAGCAAGTATGAATAAATCCTTTTTTAGTGAGATCTTAACTACTTTTTATGTTGATCGTGTAAACTCATTCTTTTTTTTATTTTTTTGGAATAAGGCTTCTTTAATCGGTCATTTGAAAAGGTTACAATTGCTACGCAAAGATGCTTGTTTCATAGAATATGGATCCGGTAAAGGTAATTAAGATTCAAATTTTATTTTATTTTTTTATTATTTTTACGTCAGTTCCTCATTTCTAATGATTAATCCCTTGATTTAGGTGAATTGTCTTATTTCACAAAATTAGCTGTTCAGGATGAAGGCTCGGCTTCTTTCATTTTGATAGATCGTAAGAATACCCGTTGCAAGGTTTGATGACATCTTGTATTTTGTGCGGACAACATAATTCAATCGAAATATATTTTGACAAATCTCAATTCTACTTTAAAGTTTGATAATGTAATAAGAGGCACTTCAGAAAAGAAATCATTAGTGAAGCGTATTGGAATGGATATTAAAGATTTGGATTTATCAAAATTAGACCTTTTAAAGGGTAAAGATGTTGTGGTATATTCCAAACATCTTTGCGGATCGGCAACAGACATCACTTTAAAATCATTGGTCAATCACGCAAAGTCTAATACAGATGGGTAAATTTACTAGTTTTGAATGACTGTTTTAATTCAACTATTTCTTATTTCTGATTTTCCAAACAGGAATCCGGTCATCGGAATTATCATAGCGCTTTGTTGTCATCAACTTTGTCGTTATCATATGTTTCCATACCAAGAATATCTTCAAGACTTTGGAATTACGGAAAATGATTTTAAGCGATTATGCGCAATGAGCAGTTGGGCAATTTGTGGACAAAGATCAACTGGAGATAAAAACTTTACCGTTGAGGACGATGAAGACAATCATGCTTATGATGAGGTAGAAGATGAAGAGGAAAATAACAAGTACGTTTCGATAATCACTCGTTTTATAAACGTCGTAATATCTTTGATCTAATGACTTCACTTTATTTATTAGAATGCATTATTCTGGTTTAGAGCATTCGGAAAGAGAACAATTAGGCTACAAATGTAAACGAATTATAGATGTAGGGAGAACAAAGTATTTAGAAGCAAATGGATTTGATGTGGAATTAATTTATTATGTTGAACCATCAACTTCTCTAGAAAATTTGGCATTGATGGCTATACCAAAAAACAAATGATTGTAAATAAAAATATTTTACTGAATTATGATTATATACTAGAAATCGTTATTTTACAAATCTTATCACAAAATCGTCATTGATTGCTTCTCTGACTTTCAATATGAACGACCTCCGCTCTAGGAAACACAGCACCAAGAGGAAAGTTCCTTTACGGCTTCCTTTCAAGTGAATTGAATACTATAATAAATATTATAATAATCACAATTTACAAAATTTGATCATCATTAAAAAAAACAAGGCATAAAGTATTACTTATCACCTGCCATTTACACAATAGTATATGGTTAATATTTATATATGATAATAATAAATTTAATTTTAATGAGATTAATTTAGATAATAATTAGTAATCTAAAATTTATTTTTTATTATATATTTAAATTAATAAAGAACATTTTTTTGTTAAATTTTTGCAAATACAAATGATCATATTAAAGGAATGCTTATTTTTGGTTTATATACATATTGTAAGAGTATTTATTTTGAGAAAATGCTTAATTTTAGAATAGTATGATAATCTTAAATCTTATATAACTTTAAAAATTTTTTATAAAAATTTTTAAATTTATTAAAAATTTTTTTATTTATTTTTACATTTATCTATTATAATAAATATAAAAAGAACTGCTTCACCACTATGCCAAAAAATAGCAGAAAACAAAATAACAACCGCGGTTGCTCTGCGTCGTCCAAAAGTATTCAACAACCTAGTAAAAAACAAAATACTATGCAGACAGTCGAACTAACAGCTTCTTTAACTGTCCCAACAGATAATATTATTATTGAAAATGACATGAAAGTCAACAACGCTCTTGTCGAAACTTCTTCAGTAAACAACAAAGGAAAAGAAAAAGAAGTTCTCTCTATTATTAACGTAGCTTCCTCCAGACTATGAACGTTGACGACAGCTCCGACCCCACTGAAAACCTCATTGCAACTGAGGAAAATATTTGAGCTTTTACCAATAGTCGCCCTTTTGAAAAATTTTTCACATATTGTTTACTCGAAAAATACCAAGGAGGAACCCCCCAACAAAAAATTGCTGATATCATTGATCAGCATTGCATAGAGTTACTTTCCTTTTTAGGTATCATATGTGGCAAATCTTCAGCAGATCATAAACAAACCATTCTTAAACTTGCCTTTTTGGACCAAAATGAACGAGATAATTTCTGTAAAGTGCAGATTTCACAAATGAACAATAACACGTTCTTACCACTTGTCCTACAAAAATAAGCTCCATTTACCCTAGAACTTTCCATCACTGTGACAGAAATTCCACTGAATGCCACTGAATTGCGCCTAAAAAAATTGCTTTCTAAATACGATAATATTACTCATATCATGATGGAAACCCGTAACTTATGGCAATGAGCGAATATCACCTTTGACAAGAAAGCCAATTTCACTAAACTTGATAAAGGAGACAGAATATTCCTTTTCAATGACATGATTAGATTTCATAGATGCAACTTACCTTGTGTTGACATCCAAAACAAATCTAAGTTCTCAATCAAATTAACTAATCTTCCAAGGAATACAATGTCACGTGATCTCTTGGATATAAGTCGAATGACAGAAGCAACTGCCTGAATCGTCTCCAGGGTCAGGTCAAATTATAACTACCTCTAACACGCTTACTTTTACTTTGCCTTTGCAGAACTCTGTGAAGCGGCCAGTAAACTCAAAGATTTGACACTTAACGGTAAAAAAGTTGAATGGACGGACTCCAAGAAAAAACTTTGTGCTATCTGCTCGTCTGCTCATCATAACGCAACTAACTGTCTAAAACGTAGACATAATCTGAAAGACCGTAATATGCAACAACTTTATCAAAAGTTTTAACCAACTCAATACAGTAACTACGTTACATCAAAAAAATAACAACAAAGATGCACAGTAAGAGACAACGTGACCTTTGTAAACGCTTTAAAAAACAAGAAGAAAGATGACCAAACTAAAGGTTCCTCATCCAATCCTCCACCACAGACTTTTTCTGACAAAACACTCAAACCAAACCCTAAACCCCTATCTTGGGCTGACGATATTCCTGATGATATAGACATTGAAGCAGACATTTCAATCAGGGTACCTAAGCCGATCAATGACCTTTCCAAAGGAACCGCTAAAGGAGGCTCCATACACGATCAGGACTTCCAAAAATTTGTTACCACACAACTCGAAGCCATCACAAAACAACTTACCATTTTAACTTCTAGCTTAGCTTTCTCACAAGACAGGCTTAGTGTTATCGAAAAAGCACTCGATATCAACGTAATTACCCCTTAAGATGCAGCTGAACACAATAATACGTTTCCCTCAAAATCATCACCAGCTGACGAAAAATATCCTCATATTGATGCCTCTAACTGCGTAACCCTCTTGCAGAAAAAGACAAATGAACAGCTTATTACGATCTGCCATCGACAACAAAGACGTATATCATCTTTCACTACAGTTATCAACAGTCTTTCCTCCACATGTGCAGACTTTCAACAAATCCTTATAAACAAAGGTCTGATAAGTAAACACGATGCTAAATCCTTCATTTCTATCACCGATACCCTAAATAAAAACATTGAAAGCTGCCTCAGTAGCTTCCAGCAATAATCTTATTGCACTTGATGAATACTGTCTCTACAAATACAGATTTTGATACAAACGATATCAGCTCCCAAACTAATTACTTGCCAACCATTAATATTGCATCACATAACGTTAGATCTTTTAACAATCCTGCCAAACAAAACTATTTAATACCCCTATATGAGTCACATGATCTCGATATTATCGATCTTTAAGAAACAAATTTCAAATCCACCAACTCCTCCATCCTCAATCGATCTTTTCCAAACTTTACTACCTTCACTAGTACGTACTAGGAGAGCCAAACCAGCGGGTTTGGTGTCAGCCTCTCCTTTAGTAAAAAACTTGCCAAACACATTTTTAAACATGAATCAAAATACGATCATATTATCTACACTAAATTACAATTCGCTGACAAACAAAAGCTATTGGTTATCAATGCATACTTCCCACCACTCAACCCTAATTTAAAAGTACTATGCAGATCTATGCATACATATATCATCGCACTCCTTGAAAAAGCAACCTGCGATAACCACCACATCATCTTACTTGGTGATTTTAATGCTGATTTTAACTGTTCACAGAACTTACAACACACAATCCGTTTTATGAACTCACTGTCAAAACATAATTTGTTTGACATTTTTATAAAGCTCCGAACGGTTCAGATTAATCTGAAAATTTTCAGTTCGGATCAACTTCGGTTCAGTTTCGGATTGCAAAAATTTCAATCCAAAAATTTTCAGATTAATCTGAAATTTCAGATCATTTAGAACAATGAAATTATCGTTCCAAACGAACAATAAGAAAATCGTTCAATTGGAACGATGAAATTATCGTTTCAAATGAACGATAAAAAAATCATTCATTTGGAACGATTGAAGTTATCGTTCCAAACAAACGATAAGAAAATCGTTCGATTAGAACGATTGAAGTTATCGTTTCAAACGAACGATTGAAGTTATCGTTTCAAACGAACGATAAAAAAATCGTTCAATTAGAACGATTAAATTATCGTTCCAAACAAACGATAAGAAAATCGTTCGATTGGAACGATCAAATTATCATTCCAAAAGAACGATAAAAGAATCGTTCATTTGGAACGATTGAAGTTATCATTCCAAACGAATGATAAAAAAATCGTTCGTTTGGAACGATTGAAGTTATCGTTTCAAATAAACGATAAAAAAATCGTTTGATTGGAACGATTAAATTATCGTTCCAAAAAAATGATAAAAGAATGTTCGTTTAGAACGATTGAAGTTTATCGTTCCAAACGAATGATAAAAAAATTGTTCATTTGGAACGATTGAAGTTATCGTTCCAAACGAACGATAAGAAAATCATTCATTTGGAACGATTGAAGTTATCGTTCTAAAAGAACAATAAAAGAATCATTCCAAATGATCCAAAATTTCAGATTAATCCGAAATTTTCAGTTCAGTTCGGATTTTTACCAGTTTACGGTTCAGTTCAGTTTCAGATTGGCATTTTTAGGATTTATAATCTGAACTGAACTGAACTGAAATTTTCAGATCGGTTTCAAATTGGCCTATAATCTAGACCAAACTGAACCATTCAGAGCATTATGTTTTTAGCATATTCACAATACTAACCGTTTATCATTCCCGTCCTTTCTTCGTAATAATACTTCGTCACAAATCGATTACATTTGGATGTCCTCTAAATGACATTGAACATCCTCACGTGCCAAACAGTACCCATGATACCCTCTGTCTCTAATCATTTAGTTGTAATGACTTCAATGTCTGATTTTTTGACTACTCCCTTGAACGATAGACGATGTCCTAGGAAGAGTTTCTTCAATTACTCTCATATAGATGACCTGAAATAGGCCAAATTCGCTGCCAAAACTGACAACATCACTAAATACAGTTCCCTTAAAGACCTTTCCATTTCAAAGCACTGGACTCAGTCCTCACTCAACAGCTTGTAGATCGTATTTCAAGAATCCATAATTGCAGCGGCCAAATCTTGCATACCTGTAAGCAAAGGCAGAACAACCCGCTATAAAAAATGGCCTATAGGTCTCTTAACCGTTTACAAGAATATCAAGACCTTACACAGATTCAACAAACTTACCAGAACTTGCCTTAACAACATAACCAAATGTTCAGAATGGTCATCCAAATATGAAGAATTTCTCATCATTGCCCAATCTAGTAACCTACACATGACAACCGTAAACATTTACCATTCCTTAGCTCATATTAATTCAGTTATCACTGACATTAAATTATTATTAGCAGGTCTTTATGTCAAAGCTAAACTCAAAGAACAGGAGTTCAAAATTAAAAGCATCTAAGAAGCGCTCCAAGCTCGCATTAATGATTACAATGCTGATCCTTCACGTATGATCGACTCCATATTGAATAGGAAAAGGAAGG